GCGGCGTGGGCGGCGGCAGCGGCCGTTGGCGGAGGGTGGGAGGCTGCGCTTCGGCCAGGCAGAGGCACATCCGGCGCGAGCGCGGCGGTGCGTGAACCCCTCACACACGCCGCCCGCGCCGCGCCCCGCCCCTGCCCGCCGCCCTCCGCACCACGTCACGCGTGAGAAGAGGTGTCGCGCTGTCACGCGTGCGCCGTGTCACGGTGCCGTCCGCCGTTGACAGCCGCTGGCATCCAATTGCACAGCAACCGTTGCGTGTGTGGGTCTGGTTAACTACGTTCTAGTTGCATGTTAATCGAATTAAACGTGCGGCTGTTAGATACATGCGCAATTCAAGTAACGTTCGCTTAGGCGTTTGGCCCTATTGGCCACTTTACGGCAGATCGTATAGTTGGAGAGTTTGCGCCTAATAAACTTATTTCCAGCAAGTCGGAGAACATGCGCATCTCAACAAGAGACCTGTGCGACATTGTTGTAGTACTATCCAGAGTGAAACAATGTACGTGATAATCTGTGAAGACATCAAACATTTTCCGCTTTATATATTACAAGAGCAAATGCATCGTATATCTGCACTTTATAGATACAGGAGTAATTGCAATGTTTATGTAAAGTGTTTATGAACGTAGGCATTGTAATAGTAATGTAAACATTCGCTTAAAGCACAATTTATGTCTTTGAAAATAAATAAACAGTAAATAAGTAAAACAAAAATCCACATACCTCATATCTACTCCAACGAACGAAGTATTTTGAGGAACTTCCTTACCGCAGGGTGAAACAGGGTTGCATTGGACTTCTCTTACGCTCATAATCGGTTATTACAAAAAACAATATACCACCATTTGTAACGATTTAATTGCTAATTAATTCCGCAAAAATAATTTAATTGCTCTTCAAACGTCCGAGTAATTTAATGCTGAATATACATAATTAATTAACAATTAAATCGTTGTAAATGGTGTCACATTTGTTGTCGCGGTGACCGATTATGATGACGCGGGCTTCACTTGCCGCGGGGCGCGGGTGGCCCTTGGCCCGATTCGCGCGTCGCCGACGGAGCGACGCCTTCCGCCCCGGAAGACACTAATTTCGTCAGCCGCGCCGGAAGTGCACCGGGGGCCGCCGAGGGGGGCGGCGCGCCCAAGTAGGTCGCCCGGGAGCTCATCGTTGCTGTTCTTGCGGCGACAGCACTGTTCTGGCTGAGAAACGACACGCGTCAGAGTTCAAAACAAACAGATTCGCGACGACGTGCAATAAAAAAGGAGAAAGGCAAAAAAGACACTTTGTGAAATGAAAATACAAACAGGAAAGGAAAATGAGGGAGATCCTATGAAATATTAATGTGAACAAAAGAAAATAAGGTAGACCATTCTGGGAAATAGAAAACAATCTTCGTCGGTTCATTAAGTCTAAGAAATGAAACCCATTGGAAACGAATATTATATGCGGGGAAGTTAAAAATGTTGTACATAAAAATGTGAGAGTTAACATACCTAAAAATTGAGAGAAATAAAATTAATCTGATGTAGCAGGTAAGGAGGAATAAGAAGTCGCATGAATAGAAGATGAGGACGAAGAGGAAAGATCAGTCCACGGCAGGTGCGCCCAGGCTCTTGTGTCGAGACAGGAAGAGGGTGTTGGTCTCGAAGGAGTTGACACGAGCCGACAAGGAAGTGACGCTTAGAATAGTGCGGAGAGGCCTTTCTCAAGTAAGGATCGCAATATTACATAGGAACATGGAGTGCATATGAAAATATATATGCATAATTTAATTATATTGTAAGAGATATTTTATGAATTAATACAAATACACATGAAATTGGTGGTAATTTATACATTTAACTGACATTTGTTCAATGACATCATTACCAAACCCTTATATACTATAAGCAAATGCAGTCACAGCAGAATAGCGGATATAAGAATATATAAGACATTTAGGATTAAAAACGATATTATAATGTATCAATACGAACTGAAGAAGCAAAGAACTAAGAAGGGAAATGATGGATTGTGGTGAGGTGGTTTGAGGATCTTGAAACAGTAGTAAGCCGCTAGAAGAATAGAATGTTAGAAATTCCTCTCTCAAAGCACCTACTTTTTTTTCACATTACCTACAAATTTCGAATATTAAATCAATGGTTATTTGAGTGCGGCTAAATTTCTTTCAATAAAATGCAAAAAACGTCACAATGTGAAATTAAATAGACTATATGGTGGGCAGGAGAAAGTCACATTCGTCCAATATAACTTTGACACCGAGCGCGCTCTTCGCGCCTGAAATATGTTTCTCCGGATCCGTCCGTGACTACTACCAAACCACATGCCCCGGCGTCATAGCGATAGGAAGCGCCGAGGAGCTGGCGGGGCCCTTGGCAGGCGTATTCCCGGCGCAGCCTCTCAGGGAAGCGTGGCTCATTGGCTTCGCGGCCCCCGCCCACCACCGCCACTCCGTCCCCGCCGCCGGTCTGCCCACCCCCGTGCCCACCGCCCGTGCCCACACCCCGCGCCCACCCACCCCGCGCCCACACCCTCGCCCACACCCCGCGCCCACCACCCCGCGCCCACACCCCGCGCCCACACCCGCGCCCACATCCCGCCACCCACATCCCGTGCCCACCCTCCGCGCCCTCATAATTGCTCATCCTCCTTACCCATCCTTTTTGCCCACTGTTCTTGCCTACCCTCCTTGTTCACCCTCCATGCTCACCCTCCTTGCCCCACAGAGATACAGTCGTTACTGCCGTCCCCGCCACCGCTACCACCGCGCCGCCCCCGCATCACCTCCAGCACCAGCCGCCAGCGCCCCCGCCCCAGCCGCCCCGCCGCCCTCTTCATCACTTACAGCACCAGGACCAACGTCAGAGCCCCCGCCGCCGTCCCCTCCACCGCTACCGCCGATGCCGCCCCCATCACCTCCAGCACCTCCACCAGCGCCCCCCCCCGCCTTCTGCTCCTCCTCCTCCTCCTCCTCTTGAGCCCCGAGCCAGCGCATCCGGCGCCGGCGGCGGAAGCGCTTGTCTTCGAGCGCCCCGCGCCGCACGCGGAGGCAACCGCGCGGCCGCTTCATCCGCGGGCGACGACGCGAGCGTTTGCAGCCGGACGCAGAAACGTGAGCGGTTCTAAGAGAAAACGGTTATCGTCTAATGCTGTTTGATGATTTCGATGGCCGTACTGCAAGACGCCTCTGTGAAATGGCCGTGAGTTCGAATACTGACCCAGGTATGGATCATTTCCTTTTGTCTTTCATGATTATTGTGTCGTGCGGTAAATCGAGCTCTGATGATTCACGTAAACGAGCGGTCGGAAGTGTGCGTTTGTGGCTAGTTAATGGTTCAAGATGTGGCTAGTATAAGGTAACGTACAACAGGCTACAGCGAATAGGCTTTTCTATGACTTTCTTATTTTGGTCTTTTTAATTAATGCATCTGTAGCAAAACGTATTTGTCGTGATTGATTAATTACTAGTGGTTCCGGTGGTGTCAACGGCTAAGGTCATTCGTCCCGTAAGTGCAGTGCGTGCATTTTGATCGGAAGGTGGAGGTGATCTTGCTTCGCTGGATGGCGAGATCCGACACCGACCTACCGTCGGGTAGCGGGGTTTTCCCCAACAAGGAATTCCCCAATAACGGGGCCCAGGTCAAGCTCTATGCTCCTGACCGATCACCCTGCATGTGTGGTAATGTAGTGCATGTAGGTGTGTGTGTGTGTGTGTGTGTGTGTGTGTGTGTGTGTAAGGGGTGAGGGTAAGGCAAGGAATAGTAAGGAAAGACCGCACGCGGCCCTTAGCCCGTTTGGTAGAGTACTGCTCCGGCATTCGCCTGGTATTGATAGAAGAAACCACGGAAAACTACAAATCAGAGCAGTCGACCTCTCGAATTCTCCTCCAGACAGCGCGTGAATTCGACGTAGCTGACAAACTAGTGTCAAAAATTCTGCCACAGTGGGGATTCGTATCCCAGGACCTCCCAGTCAGAAGCACTGCAGTGACATCAGTTGATGCCCGGAGCCACCTCTTCCAGTCGGATTTGTCGTAATTTCACTGGAGTCGTACGTTAATAGCAACACAGTAATCACGTTGTGATTATTTCCGAGGGACGCTATTGACAATTCTCCCAGTTTTAGAAGAAGCAGTTTATGTATTTATGTTTACGACTTTTTCTCAAGGTGTTATGTTTATAAAAAGCACAATTTGTCAAATCACATAGCTGAGAGTTTCTTTACCATCTCAACCTCTTTTATTCGAATTCCAAACATTTATACAATAATGAATGGCTTTTCTTTACTCCTTGAAGGAAATCCTTTGATCTCTTGTCTCGTACGATTAAACATCGCCTCTTGCAGTGCCCTTTGACGTGTCTCGTTTCGAAAGTCATCTTGCGTGGGGCGTCTGTAAGGAACAACGTGATGTCACCCTATTCTGAGCAATTCTGCTGAATCTACGTCAATTAGAAACACGACCTTATGCAGGAGAAATGAACAGAGATTACCCTGGGCGCTTGTCTGTGATTGTTAAATTACTGTAAGGCTTGTTCTCGTTAGTTATTCTTCCGGAAAACACTTTTTACAACAAACAGTTTTTTACAAAATATTCCTGCCTTTCTCTGTCTTAAAATCACTTTCGGCCCCGAGGAGTACTTCACTTCGCTGTTCATTCTCTCGTTCACCAATTACGTAACCAGGTCCCTTGACCGAGAATTAAAACCGCCATTCTCCGAAGTTCATTCCTTACAAGTTAAGATATCTCACAATCTACTTTCTACAATGTTATAACTCATAAAATAAAATTGGCACGTTTGTGATTTCTCTCGTTTTGCAAGTCAAACAGATTTCTTATCTCATTGTTAGTACCGTGAATTATTGAAAGCCCATTTTACGACTGTTACCAACTCTTTCCATACTCATAAAATATTTTAAGTACAAGGTTTCCAAGCAAATTCTATAAATAATAGCTATCGAGATCCTTGTTCATTGTTTACTAGATAATTTCGTTAACCTTACTTGGATTTGAAGAGAGATATGAAGCAGTAGAAAATTTACCACCTCTACTTGTTTTCCAATTCGTGATCAGATCATTAAATGTATGTTGAATAAACAATTTAATCGAATATTAAATGAATTATTGAATTTAAATTTATACTTTTATCACTTGTCCCCACACGTTTTGTACACAAAGTTTTTTTTTATTATCATTCGGCGTTGGCGTTACGAACAAGTACTTTGTATTCAGTAATATAGGAAAATACCAAATATAAATTATGACTAAACATTATTCAAGTCAAAACATTAAGTCAAAACACTTGCTAATTCACATGTTAATTCCCACTTCAGTTACATCGTCAATTGAAAAGGTGATCTTTCATATTCGACTGAAGCCTCGAGGTATGTTGGAGGCGCATCTTATAAAGAATTACACAGGCAGAAAAGTTTGCATCCGCAACGACTTGACATACATTTCTCTAGAAATTTCGACGCGCTGAATCCGAATCTGAAGCCAGAATTGATTCATTATTCTCCATTTTTTATAGCGAGAGGGAGGCATGGAGAAAGAGGCCGTGCCATAAAATGCCCTTTTATGAACGATTTGTTGGTACGGCAGCGGTCGTTTAGCCTTAGTACCATTTTGAGGTCTTTTTGAACACCATCTTTATTAACTTGTTAATATTTTCCTGAATATTTGCAGGATAATTTCAGCCTTCTAAATAGGTCTTTGTGCATATATTAAGAAGATACCAAACCATTTTCACATATTTGACCATTTTTATTAGAGAGTTATATTTTGTTATTGAAAATAACTTATAAAATATATCCTTACGTAAAATCAATTATTTAAACTCAGTATATTGCCGTATATATTCGTGTTACCTCTTATAATTGTCAGTAAAGTCCAGAGAGACCCCAGGTATAGTACCTGATGGTATATAGCAGACATGGTACGGGGGTTATGCCAAACAAGTGCCTTTCCTGACGCCGTGTGTGGTCGTGTGTTGCAGACGCGCTGCTGGAGGACCTGCAGAGCAGCGTGGCGCGGGGCGGCGGCGTGGGCGTGGGCGTGGGCGGCGGCGCGCCGGCGGTGAACGGCGTGAGCGCGTACCGGCGCGAGGTGACGCGCACCCTGGAGCGCGACGCGCCGCCGCAGGTGATGCACCTGGCGCCCGCCAACCCCACCACCGTCGTCGCCGAGCGCTCCGCCAGCCCCCTCGTGAGTACCCCCTCCCCCCCCAACGCATTTACAAATTGTTCTTCACATAGCCCGCCAGGAAAGTCTCTCCGCAGAGGCGCTGTTGTGGTGAGTGTGCTTGCAGCAGAAGTTATGTTGGAAGCACGAGCTGCAGCTTGTAAAAAGTAAATTGCGTACTCATCACAATTATCACAGATGCTGAACAAGCTTCACTTGTTTACATCTGTTCTGGTTGCCCTACAATTATAAATTCAATTTATAATACGAGGCCCTGGCTCAGCTCGAGGCGGAGAGACTTTCCGGGTGCACTATAGGTTTCAATTCTGTTAGGAAGCTCAAACGTAGTGATAGTTAATGTTTATAATGTGTTTTATGTTCAAGATACGATGCAATTTATCGCGAATGTTCATTTTAATTTGAGAGATTACAGCGTATTTGGCTGTGGGACTACTTACGCGTATTCAAAATACATTGTGGAAAAATTTGTAGTACTTTAAGTGTTAGTATAATGTAGCTAAATATATTGCTATGTTGTGACAACACATTAGTCCTTATTTGAGTTAAAAATGTAGTTTTTGTTTAAATGATTACACATGTATATTAGATGATAATTCTATTTATTAATTTAGCAAAGTTGTCGAATACCTACTTCAATTGAATCAGAATTTTTGATGAATGGTTTGGGCAGTAACGCGAGAAACCACACCAGCAACAGCAACCCTCCCACTCTTCGTAAATATTAATATCTCCATCGTAGTGAAAGTGAAACTTAACCTTGTACTCAGTATGTCTTTATATTTATGAAAAAGTTGGTGTAGTATGAAGATGAGACACACTGCAAGTAAAACCCACATATTAATATTTACCATCAACAGGAGCTGTTGTGGCTGTAGCTGTAGCTGTTGTGGCTTATGTTGTGACTGCCCCAAACCCTTCAATTGAAGACATATGCCCACTTATTTGAAGAGAAAGCTTTTTGTTGCGTCGCAATGAATGCGTTGTGACGGGAGTGGGCGTGCATTGGTTGCAGCTGCCGTCGATGGGGGCGGTGGCGCCGGGTGAGCAGCGCAGCGTGTCCTACAAGACGTACCAGTACCAGACCTACCACACGGCGGTGGGCGGCGACGTCCGCTCAGGTGAGCCCCGCGCAGCGCTTGTGTGTGTGTATGTGTGTGTGTGTGTGTATGTGAGGGGGGAGCGGGAGCTTGGGCGCGTGCCAGCAGCGCTCGCTCAGCGGCTACCGCACCTCGCGCACACAATTCATCCCTTCCGTCGCGGGGAGGGAGGGGCGGGAAGGTAGAGGGTGAGGTGTGAATGGGCGCGGGGGAGGGGGAGAGGCGACGCGCTGGGGAGGACGGCTAAGGCCATAACACTCATTGATTGTTTCTAGGCACGTCCACTGCTATGGTAATTAGTCCCGTTAATGCAGTGAGGGGTTTGTCCCGGTGGTGGCGGTGTTCCATCTCCGTTGAATTGTGATATGTGGCGCCGACCTAAAGGTTGGTACGCAATGTTTTTCGCCTCGTGGTATTGCAAGCGCAGCACCGCCCCCGAAAGGACAAGCTCAGAGTTTCCGATTGGTCCCTCGACACGTTTAGTAGAAAAGTGCATGGAAATGTAAAGTGTGTGAAGGGGAAGAGAATAGAACACGGAGAAGGCATGAACGATCACGCGCGGTCCGTGGCCTGTTAGTTAGGGTACTTATTCGGCATTCGCGTGCTATTGATTATAGAAGACGCTACAAACTACAAATCCGAGCACCCAACCGCTAGAATTGTCCTTCAGAACAGGACTACAAGGCATGAGGGAAGGAGAGAAGTTGTCGGGGAGGCAAAAGAAATCAAGAGCAGAAGATGTGGGTGGCATGAACGTTGGGTAGTTTTGGACCGTGGAAGCGATTGCAATGAGATTATATGGGGAGACGGGCGAAGAGAATGGAATTGATAGCCAAATGCGGGAAGCCAAAGTTTGGGCGTTTGGGCGTTTGGGCGAGAAGTCAAGGGCGGGGATAGAGGCTCCGGGAGCTCGGGGAGGGTATGAAGGGGACGTCACGAGTCAGGTACAAGACCGGCGAATAAGATTGTTGAGCTGTGAGGGGAGAGACGAAACAAATGCGAAAGAAAATGCTGACTGTCAAAGATATAAGATGAAAAGCGATGTGTTGGAGCGCGTATGCAGAGGCAAGATGTCGAAAGAATCCGCTTTCTTAACTAAATTTCATCTAGGTTGTTATACACCATATAATTCTCTCTCGCTTCTTCGAATGAAGTTCAGTTTTCATAATGGCGTAAAGTATTTCAAATCCAGAATGATATCTGTTGAGGACTGCATAAAAACGTGGACAAGGACCCACGCGTTTTCGCTGGCGCCGGAGAAACGAGGGCAGAAGGGCGCAGTGCGTGGAGGCGAGAGCCAACGTCTTTATCGCTGCAGCTATTTCGGGGGAGCGAAATATGGCGCGCTGAGTGTGTCAGGCGACGAATTAATCCCACTGTCGGGCGCTGCGTGGGTGTGTCAGCTGCTTCAAATTAAAATCACACGAAATAACATGTTGCTGTCATGTGGATAATTTGTATGCGTCAAATCCGCTAAGTGATTAAATAAGAATACTAAAAACTAACTAAACTTGGTAAAAATAATGAACAATAATATTTTTTTAAATAGTATTTCAGTATTTTTAGAAGGTGATTGTGTGTAGTCTTTTATTATTCGTACGCAACGCGAATTATCTTGACTAAATCGCAACGCAAGCAAAAATATTATTTCGTATCGCTCAAATCGTACTTTCATGTTTTCTTGATATTAGCATGAATAACCACATTCAATTAAATATCACAGAAGATCAAATTCGAACACTCAAATTGATAAGAGCATGGAATCAGTATCAAGGAACATAATGCAAACCTTTGGAAATATCTATGTTTAATTTTTTATTATTACGATCAATGACTAAACAGGGAGAACTGAATCGGCAAACGATTGAAAGAAAAACGGCACTGGCTACCAAACACAGCCCGATGCCTCAAACACAAAAAGAGAGCATTCGCCTCCATATGGCACTCCTGTCGATTTCGAAGACATAATGTACGGACTTTCCAAAAGCGTCTGTCGGTGTGTTTCAACACGGCGGACCTCTCATTAAAAGGAAAAGAGGTCAGGCGAGCGATTCGGCGCGGGGGGGGGGGGGGGGGGCGGAGAGCAGGGGAGGAGACTCGGCAACCCGACGTACACGCGCGCATGCGCACTCCGCGGAGGCGCTGCCGCAGGCGCAGCCACGCACACACGCACCCATGCACCTGCATCTACACTTCGATTTTGTTATGGCGGCAGATGGCATTAGGTCATTGTTACACCTCCTGCCTTATCAAATGAATAGTTTTAATTAATTCGCGAACGTCCTTCTCAACGGGGTTCGTGACCTCAGAAACGTGCTTACCACTCTTTAAAAAAATAATTATCTTTTGCGGTTGCAGAGGGCCAATGACCAAGCTAGAATAAACTAAAAAAATCATTTTGAAAGGTAGGTGGTGTAACAATGACCTAATGTTGGCAACCATAGAAAACTTAAAGTATAATTTTGAATATCGTCGTGGTAACTGCAATAGGTCGTATGTCAAAGAAGTTTTTTTTGTTTTTTTTTTCTTTTTTACACCAGTGTGATCAATCTAGTGAACTGCAGGAGTAGTAATAGGTCGTAAGACGAGAGACTAATGAAAAACCTAATATAATGCTTCTACATTTGTGAAAGCCACTGTCAAGATGGAGAGGTTACAACATCCTTCATTCTTCCTGAAAACTTCGGTCTATTTAACATACGACCGATTGCGGTTACGACAATGATATACTTACAAATTGACGGAAATTTAAACAATCTCTGCGCATGAGAAATATGTTAATGGTTTTTGTAGTTACCCAGAAACAAAATAATACAAAACAATATCGGAATAATACAAAAACAATCAGTTTCGATTTCGCCAGAAAAATGCGAATAATTTATTGTTGCTTCGTCTCTTCTCATACTGTGCACCGACTGAATTCTTGGAATCAGTGCGTCCCTACTTCTAACACAGTTGATGTGATGTGACGAGGAAGAAATAACCTTGTTTTCACGTGCGTTATTTCAAAAAAGGCAATTGTTGCTGCTCCAAGACCCTTTTTTCCACGTATTCGACAGCAGCATTTTTGCTGCAGCAAGTTCTAGTATTAACTGTATATACTAAAAAATTAATAATATGTATCAATTTTTGAAGAAAGTAATTCTAGAGCGTAAATTGCTTGCTAATAAAAATAAAAACCAACGTATCATGAGCTGAGAGAGTTTTGGTTTTGGGTTTTATTCTAAGATGTTACCTTAAAGGAATGTGGTAGACATTTTAACAGCGTTTTCTGCTACGAAATTGTCCCAAGATAGTACATCCTCTCGGTTCGCATTTTCTTTTCGTTTCCCATTTGTGTACATGTCTGACACGTTTAGGGATTGTAGTTATAATTGTAAACAACTTCATTTAATGTATACACTACGTGACATAAAATATTAAGCAATATCGCACTCCGACCTTTCTTGTACAGTTAATGTGTGCGTATAAGCAAAGGCGCGAACTTACGAGTAAGCTTCGGATTAAAGGACACGCTGTCAACGACAAGAGCTATTTAAGGAAAAGCGACATGCGTTATGAGTAGAGATGGGTCTCTCAAAACGTCGAATACTTCGAATCTGATCGAACAAATATCTGAAATGCTTGTCTACATCGATTATTTCGAATCCATTTTTTTAAAAATTTCTTCTGGACTTTTACTGGTTATACATTTCTATCCCTATAATACTCAGGCTCAAACTTTTTTGCCGAATATTCGTACATTTGTCAAGCCTCATATTCACTACTTTGTCTTGATTTTACCATGACTACGTTTTCTTAATTTCTACACGATAATATCCGTGGCGTTTCGCGATAGCCGGCGAGAACAAATCCGTGCTGCCGAAAGATACCTTTAACGGAACCGGTTCTGAAGGAGATCTTGGCGTTCAGTTTCTAATTGAACCTCGTTCACGGCGCACAAGAGGCGCTTGTTAGTGCAAACCTGCAACATGTGCCGGCTGTGCAAACACCGCCGATTAACTTCCCATCGTGCCTCGCCTCACACGAGTCGTAATGGTTTGCTTCAAGAGGTCTGACAGGCGAAATGAGTCGAAGCAAGCGAACATTTTCGCTTCCGCGCACACGTTTGCACTTGGTGTATTTGTTGGTTTTTTTATAAACAAAACGTCTATTAATAGTGGTGCAGCAGACGAACAATTATCGGCGTAATGCTATTTGAATGGGCATCGGACGCTGGTAGAACGTGAATGCTCGCAACGGTTCCAATATTCAAGAGGTCCGGATGAGAATTTTAGCAGCAGAGAACGGAATATCCACACCCAGTTTCCTTTTTAGCACTTTCATGAGGTGGCCACGGAAGTTTCAAGACACTTGAAACCATCATTTAAGAAAGATCCCGTTGCAACTGATAACGCCGGTTAATACACTAAGGCAAATTTCTAAGAGTACAAAATTCGAAATTACTATTAAATGCAATTAATAAAATTCAAATCAATTTATATCAGAATTACAACTTATGCTTTAGTGTGCACCCATTCGGCTTTCCGGAGACTTGTAAACATTCAAAAACGACATTTCCAGAAAAATGAGAAATACTTTAAAATATTTTCTATTTTACACAATCGCTGTGTACTGTTCAATAAAGAGGAAAGGTGTGTGTATATGAGAGAGAGAGAGAGAGAGAGAGAGAGAGAGAGAGAGAGAGAGAGAGAGAGAGAGAGAGAGTAGGCAAGAGGGGTGGAGGATGAGAAATGTCGAAATATGGAGAAGAAAATAGGTTTCTCCTAGAGAGAGGAAGACATTAAAGGCTCAAGGATACCACGCAAAAGTGCAGACGTGCAAAGACTTGTATTGACTAAAACGAGCGGAGCTACGAGAGTAGTAGTAAGCAGGGACCAAATGTAAATTGAGAATATACTTTCCTCAGTTATTAAAACAATTGTTGCAAGTCGTTGTTGATCTTATGATGCGTATAATGCACATTTTATTGACTCTTTTTGAGAACGTCGCTGCTTGGCTGTTTAGTAGCTGCTTGGAGAGGTTTGGTAGCTGCTTGAAAGACGCCGTGTCCTAGGGACAGGTGCCAACGTTTCAACTGCCATTCCTCGATATTTATGAAGGCGAAGTGCGACAGTCATTGCATTTCGCCCTGAGGAAGGTCGGGAATGAATGCCGAAACGTCAGCACCTATGCCTAGGACGCGGCGTCTTTCAAGCAGCTACCAAACCGCTACCAACTACGCGGCTCTTATTGGGATTCGCTACATATATTGTGTGCGCGGTGAGAAAGAGAGTCACGTGTCTGGCACGTGTGTGTTGCAGCGACGTTGCCCGCGTCGCCGCAGCAAGCGGCGCTGACAAGCAGCAGCGTGAGCAGCGCCACCAGCATGGGCGGCGCGGGCGGGCTGGGCGCCGCCGACGCCGCGTCGGACGCGCGCCTGCAGCAGAACCTGCACGAGCTCGACAGCCTCCTGGTGGACCTGCGCCACGCGCAGCGCGCGGGCTTCGACCCGCCGCCCTCGCGCCTCGCCGAGACGCAGTCACAGAGCCACGCTACCCCCACGCCGGCGGTCAGGCCAGCATCCCGACCCGTCCCGCCCCGCCCTTCCCACGCGCCCACCTGCCTGCTTATAAAACGGAGCTAACCACTTCCTTCTTGTGGCCGAACATGACAAGAAATACCGAGCAGCAATAGTCATTAAATAGAACTATTCAGTCCAAACAAGCCATTTCCTTCTAGTTTCCCAAATGTATCAAGCATCACTTGTTGTAAAATATAACTATTCAGTCCAGCCCAAACTAGCCACTTCCTACTAGTTGCCCAACAGACGAAAAATATCAGGCTTTACAGGTTATAAAACTAAACTTTTCAATTCAAACTGGTCAGTTCGAGATGAATAGACTTTTGATTTTTACCAGATGCCCGTTTTATGACTTACATCTCAAATGCTTATGACGCAAATACTCGAAAGTAATTATGAACACATTTTGTGACTTTACAATATTGAGGAACCATATTTATTTTGCGTAAAATTGCATATTCGGTGCCCTTGGATGGGGAATCAATTCGAAAGTAATCGTGGGTAAAAAAAATGATGCTGGATAGAGTAAATTGTAAACCTCGGATTACTCTGGCTATACTCTGCATCAAAAGACAAGCAGACGTTTAAAGATCTGGCACTCTACCACTCCCCAACTGATGAAATAGAAATACAATTTTTTTACGAGAAAAATAATTCCGATTGAAAAAAAGTTATATCTTGTTTTATCAATTTCATTTTCATCAGTGTACCTTTTAATATATCATACTATTTTCATAACACGGTTTTCTATTAAATACAATTCACCTGAAAAACTATTTTCAAGTCAAATTATATGGCCTATTTAAAAAATTACTTGTCATATTTTCGAATTTTAAAAGAACTCTTAAAAACCTAAAATACTCGATTAACAAATGTATAGAGATGAGATCTAGTCCGACGATTTAGTTAAATAGTCACTTAAATTAGACTGTTGATTGTGAGTGGAGGTCTAGAGGTGGCCATTTTTAAACTTCTGCTGCAATGTCAGGGCCACGTACGTGTGATGTCTAGTAAAAACTAGGCTTCACACTAGAAAATTGTTTTTAAAATGCTGAACGCACAATCATAATCTGGCAATAATAAATGCAACTAGAGAAAGTGAATTTCTATTCCTCATCTTTGTGCTCCGGTCGATCAGTTCCCGTCTTCCATCGTTCTACTCCAACAAGATGGAGATTAATTCGACGGGAAACTGAGAAGCACAGTCCCTGCTGGCATGTTCACGATGGACAGTTTGAAATGGTTACCCGAGCTTCTCAGTTGGAACTAGATGGTTTGGGTTGTGTGAATTAGAGTCGAATCAGTGTTTCTAAGCTGGCAAATTAAACTTTCTACTGCACGCGTATGAGCTAAGCTATGAGATTCAGTCATAATTTTGGGTTCCAATGCGATGTTGTTAGTGGTTGGTTTCTTGATAATATCCGGAAAAAAAATTAATTGTAAATCTTTACTGATATTGAATCCTTTTTGAAATGAAGACAAATAAAACATTATTCCCCTCAGAACGGTAAACAAAAATTGGTATTGTGGCGAGTTTTCGTCGGCATTTACAATGAAATAATTATATGAGTCATTGCCAACAATGCTGCTACTGTAATACACAATATTGTTGGCAATGACGACTCATAATTATTTCCGTAAACGAAAACTCCCTGAGCAGGTATCTCCTTAGCGAAACCCTAAAATCCTCGTCTTTTTCAGGCAGCAGCACCACCACCACACGCACAGAAGTAGTGACGAGCAGCGGTGGCATTGACCCTGGCCTCCTGTAAGTACCCCCTTACACCGCGCGTGGACGTAAATGAATTGCGTGTCAAACACTCCGCAAAGAATTCAGACGAACAGAGAAGCCTGCCACGAAGGATACGACGTGCGGGCATCGTGTAAATAGGTCAAACTGACAGCTGACGAAACGTCTAAACAGAATAACAGCCGGTGAGACTCAGACCTCTGACGCAGAAAGAAGTGCAGCTTCTGCAAAGAAACTCAAGAACGTGAGGTTCAAAGCCGTTACTTTTTCTCAAAGATTATTGCACATTGTAAGCGAGTCGCGAGAAATATGACGATGTCCTGAGCGTTCACTGAGTTTTATTGAAAGGATGCTCTCAAAAACTGTTTATGGAGTATCAAAAAACGTTTTGAAAATTGCGCAATTGTGCTGTCGTTGGATTTACGAAGGCCAGCTTGTGCTGGTTGTTTTCACACGACACTCATTTTGAAAAGGTTTGTTCTTTTGGCTGTCAACAAAATGATACGAGAGGATACTAGAATTGTAAAAATTCGATAAATACAGATCCGACTGTAAAAAAATCTCGTGGTCTCGATGCGTAATTTTTAAGTTTTGTTAGCAGGGAGCTGCTGATAAATAGTATACCACAACCTCTCACGCATCAAAGGATAGTGACAATTTTTAATTCGTTTTATCTGCATTAATTTCCACATTTACTACTTTCTTTATCATAATTATTTACTTAAGTTAAATCATAACCAGCTGGTTGGTACAGTGTATGTAATAACGAGCCCGGAACTGAAGCTTTGTAGATCTGAAGGTTATATATTCGAGTCTCTTTAGCTGGCGGCGATTGTCCTGCCACTACTTAGTTCTCTTAGGTCGACACCAACTTCCTGGATGAGAACTCTAGAGGCAGGCTTCTCTGTCCAATTCCAGGCAAAGACCTGAATAATACTCTAAGTAACATGCCTCGGATCGAGCACAATATAATAATAATAATAATAATAATAATAATAATAAATAATAATAAATAATAATAAATAATAATAAATAATAATAAATAATAATAAATAATAATAAATAATGTATGCTTGTTATTACTACGAGTATATTAATCTAAATGCATTAAGTGTTATAATTATAATACGTTTTACATTCACTTATAAGAAAATAAATATGTAAAATAGTTTATAAATTAAATGTATTCACACTTTGATTTCAAACCAGAAAGATGTGAATAATAGAAATAACAATAGTAATATGAGAGCGTAGGCTTCCTCGACTATCCCGGAAACGCCGCTCCTAGGCACTAGCGCCAAGATTTAGTTCGCCATTCGCCCTGCGGAAGGTCGCCGAATGATGGCCGAAGCGTTGGCACCTTTGTGTCTAGGATGCGCCCGCCGGCTCCCGGGTAGACAATCAGCTAATAATCGTAATAATTGGGGACGAATTTTAATGAAATGTCATTTTTTCCTTTTTCACATTTGCAAAATGCCGTTTAGTATACAAATTAAGTTAATGTTGTGACAAAAGGAAATGACCCATTTTATGCATTTTTTTTTTACATTTTTCGTGGATTTCGGCTAGTAAGTCATCTTTTCCCATTGTCCGTAATTTCTAATGCATTCTTCGCAGATTTAATCGATTTTAACATCATTTTAATGGTACTTGCATCAAATAATGTTTACGAGATGCAACAAATTTTATCTAAAGGATTCCAGAATTCCTATTCGATTTCTTTGCTACGAAAGTGTAATGTCAGCCGTTGTATGTAATCTAAGGTTCCCTAGACGCCTATCTGCGCCATTGTTGGTTTAGCCCATTTCGGGATAACTAATGACAGATTTCCTGGTAAAGAATAGTCCAATGTAAAAGTTTGAAAGTTGAGCTCACTTGAACGAACAGAAGAAGCCTCAATTACATCAGTAACGTATCCAAGAGCATGAGTTGTTCATTTCAAGTGGTTTTGATAATTTTTTTAATGTCACTTTGCTTTGATTTGAGGGCATTTTTAAAATCTTTTAAGAGTATTTTATTGATCATTTTTGGCGATGTTTTGAGGCATCAAAATCCGCCCCTAATAATATTGGGACGAAAAAAGGTTTGACTCGCGTCCGCCAGACCACTGAGAAGCCTCTTGTGGCGCTTGTGTCGCGCGCAGGGAGCCGCTGGACCACAGCACGCCGGCGCCGCCCGCGCCGCCCGCGCGCCAGCCTCTGGCGTCCACGCCCACGCAGCAGCAGGTGGCGCGCGCCGTCGAGTACAAGACGTACCGCACGGAGCGCCAGCACCAGCACTACAGCGACGGCGGCGGGCCCGGCCCCGCGGGCGTGGGCTACGGCACGCCCATGCCGCCGCCCGACTCGCCGCGCCTGCAGCCCAAGCGCACCTCCTCCGCGCAGCGCGAGCTCGTGAGTACACACACACACACACGCACGCCGTGCTGATGCTCGCCAGCTGGTAGAACACCTTGCAAAACTCGTCAGTACCACCCACTTTCCCCCACATACACATCTCCAGGGCTTGGGATAAATGATACAAACTTCTACGTCCTGTAAACAGGGCGAAATTCATCACGTTTTACCAGTGGAAAAGTGCATATTACAGAATTACTTATTATATTCCAAAATATCCAGAAGTAAACACAAATGCTTATTGTACACGTTTACAATTTGCAAGTTCCAATTTGTACCGAATACAATGCATTGGGTCAGATGGTTCAGAGCATGTCACTGCAGCTGTGCCTCTGACCGGGAGGTCTTAGATTCGAGTCCCGACGGTGGCAGGATGTTCGACACTAGGTAGATACCTGGATCAAATTCCGTCGCTGTCTGGAGAATAACTCTAGCAGCCAGTTGCTCTGATCCGTAGTTTTCTGTATTTGCGGACAAAACTAGGCGATTGCTGGAACAGTGCCACAACAAACGGGCCATGGACCGCGCGCAATCCTTCCTTCCCATTCTTTGTCCTATTATCACCCCTCAATTACACACACACTTACATGTACTCCACAACAACACATGCCGGGAGACCGGCCGGGAGCTTAGGTAGTTCCCCGCTGCTGGGAGATACCTGGTTGGACAAAACCCCGCTCCCAAACAAAAAACCATGCACTACACTTACGGGAACTTAAGCTCCCGAAATCTTCACTAAATAAAAAAATTACAATGCAGTTAACAAATTAGCCTGAAGATGTACCCGAGTCGAAGCACGGTCGCCGTCACCAGAAGATGCACCAGTCAGTAGCCTAGATCACCAAATGTCCAACAAGAAACTCTCATAGCGGGAATAGTCGGCTTAGACAAACATATTTATACACAGTCACTACACGCAGGCGCACTCCCCAAAACTCAGTATCACTATCCCGGCGCCCGTAGCTTTTTATATTCTGGAAGCGACGTCACGGGCAGTGACTCGCCTCGGGCTCACGTTCCAGTCGCGGCCTTGTCTCCCCACTTGCGAGCCCCAATAACGCGCGCTGCCCAGCTGCATGCGCGCCAATTTCGAATGCTCTGTGCATCCACAACATTAATTGTGTGAATTTTTGTTTAATAGTTCGGCATCTCCTTTTCCTCAGATGTTTGGCAGATCACATTATGACACAATCAAAGACATTTCATATATCTTCCAAACGTCTCTGCGTATGGGTTGCCAATCAATCATTTGAAAATGTCACAGGTGTGTAGGCTTATAAGTCCGTTATACGCTATTTCCAACTACATGTTGATTGGCAACAAAATAATCATTGTAGACATGACTGTGCGATCTAGAAATTTGTTACTGATATTTAGATATATCTATTTATGTGAGGTTTTAAATACTGATATTTCGAATTCACGGGGATGCCTGGAATCAGCCCCTCCTAGAGAGTTTAATGTTCCCTGCTGGAAACGTATTAATTTGTTCTTGCCTGGAACAAAATTAATCCACTATCGACCTCACACTTTGATTTTCACACTTGGAAATATTACAATCAAGGAATACACATTCCTGGGAGTATTCTAAGGATTCATTCAGACTGTACTGCATGAACGAAGGTCTTAACATATTAATTGTTCGATTCGTACACTCTTAAAGTTCTGTCTTCCTCTGGCGAAAATTGCCAATTCACACTCTGGCAATATTACATCGAATTTGTTCTTGTATTGTATATTATTTTTGTAGCGTTTTAAATAATTAAATAATTCAAACATAAATAAATAAGTTAATTTTGCCAAATAAACGAAGATAACAAAAACTATGGGGGTATGCCCCCCCTGGATCCGCCAGTGCTGAGGGAATGAAAAATTGTAATTCGAACCTGGCTACCCCTGGCCAAAGATCAATAGCCCAAAGTCCGAGTCCGTGTGGTGCGCAGCACTTACACACACTCACTTTTACATGCACTGCATTATCACACATATCGAGAGATCATTCGGGAGCTTAGAGTTTGTCGCCGACGGGTAGGTCGTCACCGGTCGCCATTAAGGAGGCCAAGATCACCGCCATCTCCCGCTATTAAAAAGGCATGTACTAGACTTACGGGAATAATGCCCTTAGTACTTGACGCGCTCGGAATCACCAATCAATCAATCAATCTGAGAGAACGCCAAATTCGTATTGGAGCGCAGCTGCCTCTCCGCCAAGGGCCATAAGGGCGAAAAAATCCTTCGTACGCCTTCCTTCGGAGGGAAGTAAAGCCGGCTGGCCCACATTTGTAGATTTACTTGCATATAAAAGATCCTCAAGCCTAAATTACGCCTCTGAGCTAAATCAAATCGCCAGTTTCTCGCTCAAGAAATACCTCCTTCCTCTTTTCTCTGCTAGTTGGTGAAAGGGGCGTAGCGAAATTTGCGTGGTCAGACGGAAGAGCGGGCCTGACGGCCTGAGTTTCGCCACGTAAAATAAGGCATCAATTCAATTCAATTCAATTCAATTCAGGTGTACGGCAGCGAGCACGTGAGCCGCCAGCGCACGCGCTCGCCGTCGCCCGGCGCGGGCGGCCCGCAGCGCCGCGAGTACGTGGAGGCGCGCGAGCGCTACCGCGAGAAGTCGCCCTCGCACCAGCGCCTGCAGCGCGAGGTCTTCTACAACGAGACCAACACCACCAGCAGCAGCACCAGCGGCGGCACCCCGCGCGCCCACCGCTACCGCGAGCCCTCGCCGCCGCCGCCCCAGCAGCAGGTGCAGCCGCTGCGCCGCGGGCCCTCGCCCGGCCCGCCCCAGCCGCCAGGTGACTTCAACGCGCGAGCCCATGCAGCGGGGGGGGCGATTCTTGCGGCCGTGTTACTTATGCAGTCAGGAGTACTTTGGCCTATAAGGAGACGATTTGAGGGGGAAGAACTTGTTTATTATTTACTTGTGGTTCCCGTGCGAAATTGTGCTATGTAGTTCTGTGAATTTCTATTCTCATAGAACACTAGGTATTGATTTCCTTCGTTCTCACTGAATTGTTCATTCCTGGAGAACGGATGTGGAGACATAATGTAGTTCTGCGCAGATACCGTACAGTTCGCAACCTCTTAAACACAGATAATCAAGGGTTGGTAGTTACGGGAGGTTTCCAAAGCATTTCTGCCCATGACCTTCTATCCTCCTTGCATACATATATTTGTAAATAACTTTCTTAGAAGAAAGGTAAATTGACAAACCTTTATTAAAATTGCAGTGTTTTCGGCTTCCATTCGACTTTTTGATATTTATTGAATACTTGTAAATATAGTACATTAAATTTCTAGTATCAGTTTCGGAAAATCACGATTTACTCGCCTATTTCACCAACTTTATGACATGCAACTGGTCTTGCATCGCGTTTTTACACCCACGCCTACTCTTCATTGAAATAAACTACGGAGATTTACCCAGTTATTATTTGATGACTCGAATTCCTTGGTGTCTAACATTCAACTCATAAAATCGAAAAAAACGACTATAACTCCCAAGCATACTTTTCCCTTAAAATTGAAGACATTGAGATCCCCCTGTGTGAGGTTGGCGTGCTGACGCGTGTATGCGTGCTTTCACAGGCGCGGACTACCCGACGGGCAGCACGCGCACGGTGACGACGGTGCGCACGTACAACTACAGCACCGGGGGCAGCGGCCCGTCGCCGTCCCCCGCGGGCGGCCAGCCGCCCAGCCGCGGGCGCTCGCCCTCGCCGTCGCCGCAGCGCGCGCCCTACCGCAGCCCGTCGCCCGTGTCCATGCAGCAGCGGCCGGCGCCCGTCGACGAGTACACGCCGCCCCGCGGCCGCTCGCCCTCGCCCGGGCCCGGCCCCGGCCAGCGCAGCCCGCGCCTCAACCAGCACACGGTCAGCCTTCGCATTAACCCCTCTTTTCTCCCTTCTCTTTCCTCTTCTTGGATGGGATCACTTCAACCAGCACACGGTCAGCCTTCACACTTACCTTACCTTCCTTCGCTTTCCTCTTCTTGGATGGGATCTCTTCAACTAACACACGGTCCGCCTTCGCATTAGTCTCTCTTGCCTCCCTTTTCTTTCCTCTTCTTGGATATGATCACTTCAACCAGCACATGGCTAGCCTTCGCATTAGCATCTCTCTCTACCCTTCTCTTTCCTCTTCTTGGATAGGATCTCTTCAACCAGCACACGGTCAGCCTTCACACTTACCTTACCTTCCTTCGCTTTCCTCTTCTTGGATGGGATCTCTTCAACTAACACACGGTCCGCCTTCGCATTAGTCTCTCTTGCCTCCCTTTTCTTTCCTCTTCTTGGATATGATCACTTCAACCAGCACATGGCTAGCCTTCGAATTAGCATCTCTCTCTACCCTTCTCTTTCCTCTTCTTGGATGGGATCTCTTCAACCAGCACATAGTCAGCCTTCACACTTAACTTACCTTCCTTCGCTTTCCTCTTCTTGGATGGGATCTCTTCACCCAGCATACGGCCAGCCTTCGCATTTGTCTTACGTTCCTTCGCTTTCCTTCCAGTGGATGTGATATCTTCAACCAGTACACCGTTCTCCTTCTCTTCTCTCCCCCTTGAGCACATTCATCTTCATTATCATCTCCTTTTCTTGCTGCGACTGTTTGCCGCCTCTGTGGTCTTCAGTACTATCAGTTCATTCTTTCCAATAGTTTCTTCTTTTACTTTTCTTTACTGTTTTTATCAATCGCCATTCAGTCGCTCCTTTCTTATTTAGATATACTTTTTTCAATCACTTCAGTAATCCTTCTACTATTCTAACCTTTCAGTTTGGGTGTTAACTCCTTGCGTGTCAACCAGCAACGGTCAGTCTTGAGTGCTTTTACCTTTATTTCGTTTTCCTTCCATTTTCTCTTTTTTTATTTATCATCGCTGGATTCACTTTAAGTAGCACACGGTGAAGTCGCTTCTAGCATCTGACTCTCCTAAATTTATTCTCGCTGCTCCCTTCGGCCCCTCTCCTATTTCTCCGCTAGCGTTTATTGCTTGTCAACCAACATTTAGTCAACTAACCTGTTTCTTATTTTATTGTTCCACATTGAATCAATTCCCATTGAAAACCTGTAATAGCCATTCAGTTCTTCTTCCACCTTTGTCTCTTGTCTGTTTCTGTCAACCAACAGCCAAGCAATGATCCATGGGCAACTCCCTCACTGGTTCTCTAATTCGAAGTCCTACTGTTCTCAATCACAGTTTCTCCTTCTTTCATTGTGTTTTTCACTTCTTAATTTCATATTGCCATAATGGCTTAATTTTTGTACGCTCCATGCCTCCTTTCCATAGGTATCATTTCTCAGCGTTGTATCGCATTCCACGTGCCACTTGTGGTTCATCGATCACCCTCCCCTAGTTAAACTTTCATTCAATTTTGATTTTAATTATGTTTGTTATCACACATTTTTCATAACGTGTGTGGGGAAAAGGTTGAGCCATTCGCTTATCTTCGAAACCATCAAATTCCTGGCTCTGTTCTATCTGCTTTAGACGTCCTGCTTGACCTTGTGTGCTCCCGTTTTTCTCTGCGCATTTCAATCGGTCCAAGAAGAACTACAACCACAGCCACGCATTGCGACTAATACCCCTTGTGTTGTTCTCCCAACCGCTGATATCCCTGCTTTGTTTGTCGTATTCGTCGCTGACCGAGGTCGTGCGTGTTGCAGACTGTGCACACCTACACGTACGACGGTCACGGCGGGCCGCCCGTGGGCTACCATGCGCAGCCGCCGCCCTCCACAGTCACCACCTACAAGTACTCGACGACCAGCTCGAGCTCGGACCGGCGCTACCCGGGCCCCGGCCACGCGCCCGAGGAGCAGCCGCTGCTGCAGCCGCGCCCGTTCCCCACGCCCTCGCCCACGCCGCCCGCGGGCGCGCAGCCGCCCAAGCGCCTCGACGACCTCATGGCCTCCTTCTCCGACTCCGAGGTGCGCCTTGCTTCGCTCACGAACACAACGACGGCTTCGGATGGGCTTACACTACTTTACTCTCCAGATACAATGGCCTCGGCGCGGAGAATGACCGTGGTCAAATAAATATTGTAGTTACTAGGCTGTCCGGGTGACGCCGTGTCCATGGCGAAGGTGCAGACGTTTCGGTCGCCATTCTGCGACCTTCCTCAGGGCGTAATTCCTTGGAGATCGGAACGATCCTACAAGAGATTACAGTTTAAGACCAAACTATACATAATGTATTTCTGAACAACATACACATACACGCATACACACAAAGAAGAAAAAATGAATAATCATATAATGTAATACAATTTAAAGTGATATTTAATCTATTTAGTTGAATTGAAGGCAGACCACTCATTGGCAGCAACTATAGATTTTTAAAATCTCTTTCGCAAATTCAAACCAGAAATAACAAAAATATCCTTGTGTTTAATTTATTTTCATTAAATGTAATATGATCATCTACCCAACAAAATTATATTAAACCTTAGGAAATGGTTACTGGAAGATTTCCGTGTCAGACGATTAAAATTCAATTATGGTCGGATTAACGTTTTTGTTAGGATTCAGAAATGTTTAGCGGTTATAATAGAAAAACTGTAATCCCCGAGTCAACAGCATGTTTGCATGCAGTCAATAAATTATTTTAAAAAGTATTATTTCTGGGAATAGATCTTCTTCCGCCATTGTCGCATTCAATCAACCAACAAAAGGCTGAGAGTCGAGACGCCTTCCCATGCAATTGAATTCAGATTATTTTCAAGCTTTAAATGATCAGAATTTGGCAAAGAAATATAATACTATAATTAGTGAATGTGTTACAAAGAGCTTTATAATTATCGTTGTAGATGGAATCTCAATAACTCGAAGGACAGAAAATTCAACATCTGCACCCCACCTTGAATGCTTCATAAAGATAATTCATAATATTAGATTTGACTCGCGTTTATATCATTTCGTGAATTTAAGTAACGACATTTATTTCTTCTCAAATAAAACGTTACATCATTTGTCCGAAAGTTCTTTGACTTTCGTTTGGTAATATATATTTTTCAAACGAAACGATCTTGAGTGTTTGAGTTTGTAACTAGATCGCGATCATTGAAAATTCCTTGCGGACGCCTCGTAGAGTCAGCGCAACGCGAGACGCTGCCCAGAAAACACACTCGGAAATGCACAAGGGAAATATTCGGACTACCATCCATGATTAAAAATTTCCTTACAGCTTTTGATTATGTAAAATAATTGATCATGACGATTTATGGTTCAAATTTTCATATATAGGTAAACGTATAACGCATTTGCGCTTTGAGTTTTTTTATTAGATTAATGAATATTTCATTGGAACTATTTTGAAATTATTCAAATTAACCTTTGAATAATTATTATTCAAATGTTATTTTCATCACCAAAAAATTACGGTTTTTAACGAACATGAAATCTGCACATTCTCTTAATCATCATTCATATTATCCAATAAAAAAATCAAACAAAAAAGATGGAGTCATTTTTATAAAATGACCCAGGGGCTACATTAAAAGTGCCCCCCCCCCCGCACACAAAAAAATCAAAATATCTGTTTCAAATTCGAGGAACCCAACCGACACAAAGGAAAACCGACATCAGCCAGATTGATCGGGGAATACCAATTTCGGAGAAAATCAGCTTAACTGTTTAGCCGCTAGCTATGTTCGTAGACGGACGTAGAAAATTTTGCCGTCAATCGATTTTTCGGTAACAAGGGTCCATAAATCATGGAATCTGGGTACACATCGTGTTAGAGATTTTTTCTTAACTTAGCAACTGGATTTATCCACTCTTTCGTTACAGCGGCCCTGTAATATAAGTTTTTCTGACGAAAATTCCCTATTTTTTCAAACCATTACATAACTTTCTCTCTATTCCGTAACGAGAAAGTAAAAGGGAAGTGACTGACAGGAGTTTGCATGTTGCGCAGCACGAGCACCCGCCCAACAGCTACTACCGCACGACGACGGAGCGCACGGTGACGTCATCGCGGGACGGCGGACCGCCTCACGGGGTGCCGTCGCCCGCGCCCGCCCCCGCGCCCGCCACCAACGGCGCCGCCGTGGGCTCGGGCGCCGCCGCCAAGGCCAAGGAGGCGGGCCAACTGCAGGTCAAGGACCGCACGCCCACCACCAACGTGGCCGGCCCTCCCGTCTACTACCCACCGGGCGTCGAGATGTTCGCGCAGCGCGAGGAGGCCTCCATGCAGGTACGGCGACGCTCGCCCCGTTCCCCTGCCACCTCCTACACCCTCCGCCGCCCCCACAATCACCAGCCAATGCCGTTCCTCCGTTTGCTTGACACTGCGTTTCGAATATCTTGATCTCATGACAGAGTTCGCACCCTCTGTAACTTGCTGGATGATTGCCTCTACAATTTACACATTTAGGTATTGTACCTTGTTTGCTGCATTCTGACGTTCCGCTGTAACAGTATTCAACGCGCTCTAAGGTCGAGTCTTCAATTCCTTCCCTGCCCTGCTTCACGTCCTACCCCTTTCGTTACTTACCACGCCCTCCTGTTTTCATCTCGTCCCTTCCCTGCCTCGTGACCAATACCCTGCGACATTCCTGACTGAACCCTCGCTCCGCGCCCTTTTAACCTCCTCCTCCCCTCCTATCAAGCAACAAACCGCGCAACTGCCTTGCGTCCGCCCGCTCACTCACCCGCCCTCGCCACGTGGCCAGCAGCCGTACAGACGCCATGTCGCCTTCTTGGCTTCAAACCCCACGACACCGTCTTGCTTGCCCCAAGAATTTCTACTGCTGAGCCACCCTAAGTACAGCGGGCATCGCTTGGCGATAGGTTTCCTCCGGGTACCCTCCCTCCCACCCTATCTTTCACATAGTTTCATTTTCATCTCTATATATTATATCACTGATCCATTTTAGGAATCCGACGGTATTAAATGTAACGTACCTCTTCGGGCATTCTGAGGAGTAATTGATAAAGTGTCGCAAAATTCATCGCAACAGGAAATACTGGTTCTTGGCCTTGGAGTTATGATGAACAAATTGTGCTATTGCCATCACTGATTCTCTTTGGATTCGAGATAAAACCACGCTAACTTAACAATTTGTATAACACACAAACACAAACTCTTTGGCGATAATCCAATTTCAATGTGAACAATGTGGATTAATAATCAAATCCAGAAAGAAAGAAAAGAACGGGAGGCAAAGTCAACGTAACCTATATTATGTATCGCCAACGTGTAAAAATAAAAAGTCATGCAAGAGACTAAATTTATCAGTAAGCATTGTTTTTCTACAGCAACTATTCAATACTTCTCTTTGAACTATTTACAAATAATTATTTAAATGCTCCTTTCACGTTTACAAGCAGCTATTGATAATATGTAGGTGTAACAAATGGTCGAGTGTTTGACTAGCGACTGGCACGAACATTCCACTTTCAACCCAACTGAATCCGCCTTCTCCCGGGGCCGAGGGCTGAATCTAACAGCGGCGTTTGTTTGTTTGTCGTGCGCAGATGAGCGGCGGCGGCGGCAAGGCGAAGGGCAAGTACAAGTACGAGTACGAGAGCAAGGAGAAGAGCAAGAGCAGCCAGAGCCAGGGCGCCGCCGTCGTGCCCGTCTGCCTGCCGCTCTGCTGCGCCATGCCGTGCGTCATCATGTGAACCCCCTCCTCCGCCCCTCTCGCTCTCGCTTTGCACGGCTCTCGCATTTTGTTGTGTGCCTCCTCTGCTAAGCAGTTCCTTGCTTCGGAAGCGTAGCTCCTCCGGCGAAAATCAAACTGCCTGACGCCCTTTAAAAGGGCGAGGGATCGTCCCTAAATAAATGAGGGAGTGGGGACGTTTCGCCGATATTCGAAATATTCGTAGGAAACGAAGACTAGAAATTGGAGATTATGTTCAAATTGTTTATATTAGTTTGTAAAAGTTGCTTGGTTGTAATTCTTTTAAAATACAATTGAGGGTAATTCAATGAATATATACACAACAGAATCATTCCACGCGTAAGATTGCAGTATCTTTCAATACATATGTAAACTGCAAATTCCATAAAGAGTGGAGATTGCCGGAAAAAAAAGAACTTCAGTCTGGCAAAAAATACTAACTCACGATTTGGTACATTAACGATAGAGTTCTCTCCTATTTCTAGTGCTGGCATTAACAAAAATGGCCTCTTCTTGTCTTTGAGACTGCGGGCAGACTTGGAGTGCTTTTTTCCAAAGCTGCCCGTGGGGACGGTCCGCCCCTCACCCCCTCCCTATTAGCTACGCTGCTGCCGTTTCCTTTCAAGGTGTTCCACAGCTCAAAACGTTGCGATGAGAGAGACGTTTACTCAGATAGGCTGAATCCCATTTATCTCGCTCAACTTCAGTAATTAGTTTGGAACAAACATTTGAAACAAGCAAGATGTATGGAGTTTGGCCCATCCATCTAAATATGTTGTGCTCCCATAATTGCTGTGCAATTAAACAGAGGTTTCATTTAACATGCCTCTACCTACATTTTAAATATTATTATAAGGTCGATTAATTAATGCCGTGTTCTTAAGTGCCACAAAGCGCTATTTTTACAGCGATGAAAATATAAATTTATTTAATTTGAAGCTGTAAAATGAAGGTGGTTGAATCAAGAAAAGTTGCACAAAAAGGTAGAGAATGTTATGTAGTGCAACCTGCAGCTAAATATTTTTATTGAAAACCCTGCCCTAATTTTCACTAATTACAAAGTATTAATAACAAGATGTCACTGAAATATATCTGTTTATGTTTACAAATACATGATAGTAATTAATATTTTTAACGGTAATAATATAAACTAAAAATGAGATCTGGTATATATTTTTGGAAGATGCATTGGTGATTTTTGTTTCTTCTTTTATAAATGCACACTTCATATACAGAAATAACAATTAATGTAACAGATGCATATTTATATTTTCTTATGTATGTGCTAAAGAGATATATTTTGCTTGGTAATGTTTTGAACAAAATGTGATTCTAAGTGATCATTTTTTGATCGACAATTAAAGCTAATAATAATGATTAATTTGATTTGTAAAGAGTTGTTAAGCTTCACTACATTTATTAGTCCTTATTAAAATTCATAACTGTGAAAAAAATCAAAAAATTACAAGCCTGAAAACATTTTATGTCTTCATTGGCAAAGATTCAAATTTAATTTTGGAAGTGATAAATCTGTATGCAAAAATAAAATTACTTAACGTCATTACATAATCCGTACAATTGTACAAGGGGTTGGTTTTCTTTAGTGCTCCTTGTCAATGAGTCCCTTACAATTAGGAAGAGAAACACGTTATGAATTACATTTTCTCATATTAGACATATGTTAAACTATTAAATATTGATGTTAAAAATCTATATTTACATTAAAAATGAAGATGCTGATATTCAGTAGAGAGTTATACTTGTTCACAGGCAGAAGCAATGTGTTCTAGTTTTTAAGTACATTCATTTAAGTACAAAGTACTGAACATGATTTTTTCATCCCTCCATAAATGCAAGGAAATACTCTTTTGTATTATACTTTCTACTTAATTTGATACGATGAAAGAATTGGCAAGAGATTTTATGAATACAAATCATGTGCGATATATGTGGAGGTAAACACATTCTTTGCATTCATATATTTCTACTAAATACATAAATATTTACTGTGATTTTTACCACAAAAGTAGAAAGAAAACCCTTTTGAGAAATGAAAAGTTTTGCTTTGCGATGCTGTGTTAATAGCAGGAAATGGAATCTCATAAAAATGTGTATTTTTAATATGTATTTTAAAATGGAAAACAAAAATTATAAATTTATAAGAAATACTTTCTAACATTTGATGTTTTATCACTGATGTTATATTTTCTTGTTTTGTAAAATAAAGAAATAAATGAAAGCAGTGTCACCTGGCATTGCTTATTGTATATAATGAATTTTTGTATTTATTTTTTCCCTCCCCCTTCCATTCCATCAATGTAAGATTGAATAGGGCAGTCAAGACAATGTTATTTAATGTCGCTTTAGTAATTTGCCAAGAGGGAGATACAATTCCTTTAGCAGAATATCAAATACACTTAAATGAAAATTGTAAATGAGTAATAAAAAATAAGTTTGATAAAGTCAACTTGAAATAAGTTGGAAAAAAAAAGTTTTTAAAGCACGATAGTTATTTTTTTACAGAAGAAATGTTTTTCATACACTGCTGAATATTTTATTACCTTTATTGACAGAAATTCATAATTCATTAATATTTGAAGTATGCAAACCAAGAACAACTGCATATTAAAACCAATGAGTTACAAATATCCAACCTATCTTGCTGCCACAACATGCCAGCCACACTTGCTGCCAGAAGATATTTTTCAAAAGTCTTCTATTGAGGTCTTTTTAATAGAGAAATAAAAAGAACTTGGATTAATTGAGTATTTAAAAGAGAAGGAAAAGTTCTTAGTTTGTAATGAATGCTTCAGCTGATAAATGAATAATTAGATTGTACAGAAAACATATTTAAACAATATTGACAATTTATTACTCATAGTGAGAACTAAATAAAAAATCACACAACCATCTCTCACCTTGATTTTGAGACCTACGATAACGAACATCACCACAGCCACATTGGTAGAGTTTGTGACGTTGGGTTCGATTTTCACCCAAGTCACACAAAAACATTCCTATGCAACGTACTCCCAGCATTCCTTTGCAATGTTTCGATGAAACGTAATTTTCCTTACTTCAATATGCTAAACCAACATATTTCTTTCTCTGGGTTTTAGGTATTAAGAGATTTTGGGCTATTAACTTCTTATAGTGCTTAAAAGTATTCATGAAATACATCTGTCGGCCCCGTTTCACTACGTAATTTCAGCCAATAACAAAACGCGCTAAATTCATGATTTCAAAAATAGTTTCCTCGTGGTAATCATAATACACATACGATATTATTGTGCATATCATAGAATGCGGCAGCGCAACATCTGCACATACTTTATCCTTTATTAATAACGGTTAATTAATATTATTATATTGCACCTTCTATCCTACTAAAGCTTTAGCCATCACTCAAAAATGCAAACGATTGAATATAAAAGTACGCGCAAACTACTAATATTTTGAAAAAAGTGTAATACATTGAAATGATTTCTAGATGTAATTTTGGAAAATAGACTGCAATAAGAAATCAATATCTAATTTCAATATTAAGAGGACAAGAGGGCAAGTTCGCAAAAATTCAAATTTGTCATAATGGGATTTAAAAGTATACATAGACAACAATCTTTTTCTCAAATAATACGTGAAATCAACTAAGGATTTTTATTGAACGCCTGCAATTTTCAAAATACCAGAATTGTTTAATGGAAATTGAATGTACACCGTATTATAAATTTGGAATCTGTATATGTGTCTCTCTCTCGCTCTGTCTCTCTCTTTTTCTGTTTCTTTCTGTCACTCTTTGCGTCTCTTTCTCTTTCTCTCTCTCTCTCTCTCTCTCTCTCTCTCTCTCTCTCTCTCTCTCTCTCTCTCTCTCAGTTGTCAGCCAGGTCTCGAGATAAGGAAGGATTTGGGCATCGATGTGATTAACGAGGGACTGTCAATGCCTCCCCCGGTCACAAACACAACTGAAAACACATATTATTTATGCGGTTTTCGGACCTACAGCCTTAGTGTTGTAGTTGTTTCACCAGGTCGACAAACTCGTTAATTCCATTAATCAACATGTTACTGTTATGCAACATAATAAGTACTTTGCATCTTAGTAGTAGTATAAGTCTATCGATAGTAGATCTCTATTTTAGTGTTCACGTACTGGAGATCTCCTGCTCCAAGTCCCCTTCCCAAGAGGCCGGCGCACTTTACCGTACTACAGTGAAACCTGCTCAAACTGCTCCCTCGATTAAGCGTTTGTTCCACCTGCGTAAGCGACATTTTGTAGAAGCACCTTTATTAAGCGGTCATATGAACCGATTTTGACTTGTGCTGTAACAAGAAGCTGAAAAGAGGGGAAAATTGAGAACATTAATGATTGAACCGATTGAAGAATTGTATGCTGTTGTTGTTGTTGTTGTTGTTGTTGTTGTTTTTTGTATGTTTAAACGTATTTATTTCCCCACCAATTGTCTCATGTAATTCTTGAAAAACAGATGAGTGTTGTGGTGGCAGAAAACAGGGAGACCAGCAATGCGCCCTCACGCCCGTACATCAAAGTGGCAATGTTTACACCGGCGTAGGTGGTTCAGGGCATCAGCTCACTGCGTTGCCTCTGACCGGGAGTACCCAAGTTTCAAGTCACAATAGGGGCAGTATTTTCGGCACTAGCTAGGAAGCTAGACCGAGATCAGCCACTATCTGGAGAAGGATTCTAGCTGCACTGATCGGTAGTTTTCCGTGTTCTTCGATCAACACCAGGCGAAGGCCGGAGCAGTACCCTAACACACGAGCCATGGACCGCGCACGATCTTTCTTTCCCTATCTTTCCCCCTTAGTTACACACACACACACACACACTTACATGCATTATACTACCACATGTCGGGAAACAGAGGGAAGTTTAGTGCTTGTCCCGGCTGGGGGGGTGCCACGCTGGTGGGAGAGGTAAACACCACTACCAGACGTGTAGGTCGGCACCGATTCTCGCCATCCAGCGGAGAAAGATCGCCGCCACCTCTAACGATAAACATTAAGTACCCTTACGGGACTAATGGACTTAGTATTTGACGTTCCCGGAACTACTAAACAGACAAAGAGCAATTTTTACGATTTGTATCTTCTCCCCACCTGCTCCAATGCTATCATCTTTAAAACTAAATTAAGTTAACATGTTAAAACTCAAGTCGGCCTGTGTTATGCGTGACTCACACACACACACACTCATACACATGCGCTCAAACACACGCGCGCGCGCGCGCGTTCTTTTCATTCATCCACAGCCATCTTTACAGACATTATGGTAAAAATTAATTCATTCGTCTCAGACCTACAAAACTGATTTTAGCACCGAAATGTTGACCTCTAATATTTGACCGATTCGAATTCTTTTCTTCTGTTATGTTTGGGTGAGGAAAAGTTTTTAACATCTTCGTAAAAGTGAATTTAATATTGACAAATATTATATACAATGGCCTACAATTCGCAACGCCATTAAAGCTTTTATTTCACTAATGTGCTAACAGTGATGTACATTGAAAAGATATCTAAACGTTATTGTCCAATTGTATTTATTTTATTGTCCTTGTATATATAATGCACAATATAATATTATAAATAAAATGTATGATGTATTTTAAGATTAATAGTAGATTAAATAGTTTTATGAAGTGTGTAAAGGAATGCTTTAAGATTAAGATATAATTGTTGCTTTATAAAATATGTTTATATGAAATATTTCTACTAAAGAATGATTAAAGAAAGATTTAATGGAATATAACTTTCAGATACACTAATGTAAAAATTAAAATAATTTAAAGGTGCTTGAAGATGGTTCGAAAACTACAATCCGAAACGTCGTAATTTACGAAAATGTTTTAAGAGGAATTGGACAATAAAATTTATGTATTTTAAACATGTTTTCAGAAGAAGTGGACAATAAACTGTATGTATTTAAATGTATGTACTTAAAAAAAGATGTAAAATATAATAAATTTCCAAAAAACATCTGATTTGGCGGAACGCGTCAGGAAAAGGCCCTCTTTTTCCTGGCGCCCCCCCGTCCCCCGCCGCCCAGGCAGCGCCGCAGGGCGCTGAAGTAGCCCCCCTCCGGGGCGGCCAGCCACGCGACGCACCCCGCCCGGAAACAGTCGGCCACGAAGCCCGTGGCGCGGTACGACAGCGCGTGGTCCTCGAAAGAGAACTGCTCTCTTTCCGAATAGATTTTTGTAATCCAGGCTAGAGTTTCCGCAAACATCTCTATCAATCCTGTCATCAGCAACATTTTGACGTACAGTCGGATCTTGCAACGAGGAATTCATGTCACACGAGATGTTATCAAAGTATGTCGAATAATTACATGGTATTTTCTGATATCAAGTATATATATATATATATATATATATATATATATATATATATATATATATATATATATATATGTATATAAAATATATAAGATATTTTCGATCGCGTAGCGATCTTTATCAGAGTTATCTGAAAAATTAAATTAAGTAGAAATTACACACATTATTTACAAAATGTTAACGTAGTAGGGCCTATTCCAGATGCGTCGGCAAACTGTGCCTTGCAGCGTCTAGCCGGAAAGCGAAGTTCTGCCCTGTCGCAAACTCGAGTCGAGTCGCGCACACAATACGGAGTTTGTGCATCCTCGAACGTTAACGTACTACCGATCTTTTGCGCAGTTTAAGTTTCGCATTACTTAAGTGCATCTGTGCATGCGCAGAAGAATGATAGTGTTGCCGCTATAGCGTGCACAAATTCCCTAATAAACCGCAGAACTTTGCTTTCCGCCTAGACGCTGCGAGGTATGTACGGCCTAGTTTGCTTACGCTTCTGGCGAAGGCCATACTACGTTAACATGTTGTACATAATTTGTATGATTTCTACTTAATTTAATTTTTCGGTTATTCCTGTAATTTTTCTGATAGCTCTGATATAGATGGCTATGCGTTCGATTATATATATATATATATATATATATATATATATATATATATATATATACATACACATACATACATACACATAAGGTGTATATATCAGTCAACACCTTTCATTTATTTAATTATTAGAAGGTGATGATGATGATGATGATGAAGTTGTCACAATGACGTACGTCTTTGCGTCCGCAACTGCCGAACGCACTCCGTCTCTGTTTCTTGCGTTGTCCGCTCGCGGGACCCCTGCCTCCGTGAGGCGCACTTTGTCGTCGTCCCTGTGGAGGACGGAGTTGCCTCTTCGGAGGAACTGAACCTTCTTGAGAGTGCGTGCAATGCAGATGACGTTGACTACGACCAAAGAGCACACAGGACCATAATAGAACAGCGCAGTTCCCGGCTTTATTGATGGATCCGCCAACGAATATATATCTGAAAGAAATGCTCATTAATAATAAGGTTTTGCTCGAATGCGGACAATAGAGAAACTTTCAATCACGCCATCACATTTTGAAATTCTTTTATTCATTATCCTCCTTGCCGAATGCGGAAAGCTTTGCATAACATACAATATTATTGTATTTCATGACACATTGTAATGTCTTAACAAAATATGCTCAATGGTTACACTAAAAACGTACAGGAAAATTAAACAATACTTCTGGAGAAGTAGAAGGTTTTGCTTATTAATTTAACTGAAGTTATTTTAATGGAATATATAACATGAATGGATTCGCGGACAAAGATTTAATTCAAATTTCCCACACAAAGTAACAAATGAAAATCGATTAAATAAGTTTGCAGATGATATGGCTATTTTTCCTGGCAAAAATCTTTAACAATTACTTGAGAATTACCACAAACACCACGTCGGTGTAAACAAATGGCTGAAATATTAGCTCATAAATGTTGACAAAACTAAATCGACTTACATGATATTTAATCTCAACAAAGATGCATGTTCTACAGAACAAATTATTATGAAAAAAAATTCCTTAGCATGCACGATGAAGTAGTACTTAACAATTTACTCGGAAAGAAGGCTTACCTGGTAAACACAAACACTAATATACAGAATATTTATTTTATCTCACAACGCATATATAGGAGCACCTGCTCTTGTTAGGGCAATTTGGCATTTGGATCAATCCAGCGCCCTAATTACCGTTTATGATGTGAATTAATTTACTTCTTCGAATGTTATGTAGGGAACGAGAAAGTGTATTTCGTACTTTGTGTAACTCTTAAGTAAGTAAATAAATAGTAACTACTTGGCTATTCGGGATATGACGCATCCTAGACACAGGTACTAACGTTTCAGCGGGACGAAATGAAATTCGAAATGCAATTTGCCCTGAGGAATATCGTAGAATGGTTGTCATCTGTGCCTAGGAAGCGGCGCCTATCGAACAACCAAGTAGGTACTGACGCCGGCCGCGGAAGCCCAACTCTTAAATAAATAAATCTTTTGTCGCCCCCTTTCCCCCTGAATCACGAACAAAACTAAAAACACAGTCACACACAAACACACATGCACACACAAGGTCAGAGTCTTCAGCCTTGTCCTCTTATACCAGACTTTCAATTGAATAATAAAACAATACTTTTGGTACACTCTACGCATTAATCTTTTCTTTGGGAAGATCGTGTCTACCTTGTCTCCCGTCACGATTCGCCACTGATCGAAGAGCCGGTACAAACTTATCATCACGTGTAACTACAATTCTATATGGATTATATGTTTGCGATTACTTTTAAGTTTCGTATACGCCAATTCGTTAAAGCACGTCCGTGTTTCCATAAGAGATGGGCTGAACCACTTTTGAGACTTTGCATCGCTCTCAAAAGCGTGGGAGCACAGGCCGAGCATCAGCGCGGGCAGCCCCCAAGCGAAGACAGAAAGCCCCACGAACCTCCAGCGGTCCCCACTGCCCGGCCGCGCCATCTGCAGCTTGCTGCCAGACAAACATACGGCACACTGCAATTCCAGGCTCAAGATAGCAAAATATGGGCGCCAGCCCTACGCCAACGAGCTAGAATATACTACGAAGAGTGGCTGACCCTGGGGTTTCAGATCTTTTGGTAAACGCTCGCAGTACTACGGGCGGCCATGTTTTTGCATTCACAACGTGAGAGGTACCTGATGGTGGCATGTAGAACTGTTGTATTTAATAGACGTGTTTGTAAATTCAAATATTAGTGGTTAGAATAATAATATTCACAAGGTCTTCAGTATTTTCGGCATATAACGTTAAAACTAGAAGTCATCAAACCACAAATATATAATTTTTCAAGTTGGCCGCGTTATTTGTGATCTGTTTCTTTGTTTCTTATTGCAATAATATTAACTTTCAGGTATTATGCTAACTATGATAACATTTCAGCAGCTTCCATTTTTATGACAATAACCGGTGCAGGAAGCAAAGTGTTTGTAAAGTTTCTCAATTCGTTCATCTTACATATTGTGATTTATTTTCAAATGATTGATTGTGAGAAGACAGAGTATGAGGATTTATATTACGCGTGAAGCACGCCCACCTGGCGTGAACCAGCGCCCAACGGAATACTAGAATACTCCAGAGGGTGCTGCTTTGGCTGCAAAAAAACATGGCTTCAATTTTCTGCAAAGTTAGAAGCGCTTCAGCCACTCTGTGTAGTATATTCTAGCTCGTTGCCCGAAACTCATCCTTCGCTTACCCGAAGCCCAACGTCATATTGAAACACAACGCCGTGAGCCAGCAGTTGGCAGCCAAGGATACGAAGTACATCGACAACGCTAGGACAAGAAAGAAACGTGCAATACGTTAGCAGACAAACATTATTTTTAGAAAAACATAAATCTTTTTAAAATACGTAACACTAATACCTATTTTATTCAAAATTTAGTTCTCAAGAGCACATAATGTACCATCAAGCACCAATTTTATTACATACAGAATTAATGATACTAATCCAAAATTTTAAAAAAATATTTATAAACACTTTACCGAATCGTGTGCATATCTTCTTAAGATGAAAAGCGACGTATCCTAAGTCGTCGATTTCGTCGCTTATTAACAGGTAATACGCCATCTGCCCCAAGTTGAACGCCAGCAGACAAGCAGCGTGGCAGGCTAAGCACCAGCCATGGGCCTTCCGGCGCATGCCGCTGTCACAGACGACGGAGAGCAGCGCGACCACTAGCAGCGACCCCGACAGGAAGCACAGGGGCCGCAGCAGCCAATAGACTCCCCTCGTGATCCGCGAGACCTCGCAGTAAATGAGGATTTCGCCCGAGGAGTCGTTCCCGCGGCGCTCGAAGTCGACGCAGGTGCCCCACGAGGAGAAGAGGAAGTTGTGGTAGCGGCGCCGGAGCAAGTAGGCCTCCCGCGCGTCCCCGGGCGTCAAGCGCAGGCCGCGCTTCGGCGCAGAGCCGCATTTCAGGCCGCGCCTGCGACGCACACAAAGTACGCTCATGACGGAGGATCGAGGAGGTATCAGTGCTTGGCATCCACTTGATAGGCTGTCAAATGTCTTAGCGCACATTTTCTTAATTTTAATTTTTAACATTAAAGCTATTTATATTTTGAATAAAAAAAGTACAATATTTGAAACAGATGCCAATATTGTTTACGTGTAAATAATTGTATAAATGTATACTTTTAAATAATCCTCACGATATTTATTTAATAAATATACGATATCTATGTATCCATTCTCTCTCTCTCTCTCTCTCTCTCTCTCTCTCTCTATATATTATATATTATATATATATATATATATATATATATATATATATATATATATTATAGTATATATATATATATTGAAACGAAGAACGTTTCTCATAGTAACAATCAAAATTGATTTTTTTTTTTTACTTAATTTTTTTCTTAATTAAAAGAAGCACTTAATCCGATCAGGTAGTAACGCACGCCGCACCACCGCTGCCACCAACGGTTCAAATCGAGGGCTAGAACGGCGAGGCGTGTGACGGTGGGGAGTATAGCAGAGAGGCCGTGAGCGCAAACGGACGGGGCCTGTGCTGCCTCAAAGCAGTTTATTAGTGATATTCCCAAAGTGTGAATTAGATTGTAACCATTAAGTGGGAGATTAAGTGATGAAAATGATAAATCAGGTGATATAGGAGAAATGGGTAAGTTGCGCCGCAGGATAGGATCAGTGAAACATTAATAACTGGAGTTTGAGTTGGCGACAGACACGCGTTCCATGTCTGCCCGGGTGTGATGCAGCAAGCGGCGCACCGTGCGAACATTCGAGTGGATTGAGAAAGACTGCTGTGATCGGAACGCGAGGGACCGCAATTGCGCTTGTGCATGTTAGTATTGTACTTGCTTGTACTGGCTGGGGAGGTGGACCCCGGCGAGCTCGTTGGCCATTATTTGAGGGCTAGCGGAGTCGACGCCGCCGAGGAGACGATTTCCGACAACTCGGGGCGGGACCGAGTTTGCCGAACACGCCGCGCGTGCCACGGCGCGGCCCGCTCGCCTCCAGTCAGCCGTGTGGTACATCGAAAGCCTCAATGGTAGCGTTACTTGTGCACGAATTCACTAAAGGCCTTGCGCACTCGTATTGTAAAGAATTTTTGTACATTAGTGTTTCCAATCATTAAATTTTTTGCAGCAAAAGAGTTTCTTGTCCCTGTCTTTTATATCATTTTATTTGTCGGTGAGAGTTACCTTTCCCGAGTTACGTCCACTATACTATATTATATATATACTATATATATATATATATTATATATATATATATATATATATATATATAAAGTTCGCCTTGTGAAATTTTGCGTCAGTTGAAATTCGCCCCCCCCCCAAAAAAAAATTGCGCGCTCCTGGCTGCAGCCTACCCAGCCTGTTCAGTAATCTAGCACTGGCTCTGTCCTATGGCTCGACAGCCCGATACCGGCCTTGGTCGACCAGCGCGCAGCAGCGGTGACCCAGCCATAGGATAGGGGGTTCGTGTGGTTACCACGATGACATCCCTCCTCCGTATATTATGGTTTTCCTAACCTTAGGGTGGGCTTCCTCATCGTCATACAGCAATAGGTACTGAGACATTTGTAAGGAAAGCGCACAGTTATTATTTTGGCCCGGCCTGGAATCGAATCCAGGGTTGTGCCGTGGAAAGCGAGTACCGAGGGCCTCCGAGGAGGTATCAACCACAAAATATATGTATCTACTAACCACAAAGTTTACTTTGTGGTTGATACCTTGTTGATCCTTTATAATTATGGATTACCACAATACCTCTGCTGTCACCAAGGAATTCGTAACTATTCATTTTACTGCAAAACTAAGTGAAATATACAAGCGTGGAAATTATTGACGTGGTTTAGAATAAATGTTTCATAATTCTAGAGAATTTAGGAAGTGTCGATGATAATTTTTTGTCAATGTAAATGAAGTGAAAAACTCATAGAACTAATTTCCGCATATGACATTTTTTGACATTGCGCCTTTGATAGGTAGGCAATGTACGTATTGATGACAGCACTGATTGAGAGGTACACAAACTCTTAGGAAACTACCTATCCAAAAGCAATGAAAATACCGACAATTTTCTCTCGATTGTTCAGCTTTGACAGCGTGGAAAAGTGCATTGCTGTTGTCACAAATGTATCAAAGCTAATGGCCGTCAATTGGGAGACATTTTTGTAATTAAGCAGGTCGTCCCCGGAGAGGTTATGTACCTGCCGAACGTCAGTGGATTTGCCTACAAATCCGGGTCCTCATGTCCAAAATGTTATGAGTAAATGTTACTTCCAATGTCACAAGATTTCCCACCATATGCTCATTTCCAAAAAGTTATAATTTTCGGTCTCCTAAATGACCCCCTAACTAAGTTTGTATTATTTATCCTAACCCACGTTGTATATACTATGACAATTATTGTCGTACATTAGTGTCCTGTCATTGATATTGCCTAATGGTGTCAAGAAGGGGTACCATAATCACACGAATGAACACTGACACGACGATTCCAAGCGGCAATTTTTCGGCAAACTTTTGGTAAAAATTGTAGAATTTTTTATAAGTTATCTCATAAAATGACGGACTCTATAATTAGGTAGAACTGTATATCTGTAGAAGGGATAAGAAATCAGAAATCGTGTAGAAGTTAATACGTGTGTTCATTGTCAGTGCTGCTCCGACATATGCATTGACAACTTTCACTCTATGCATTTACTAATATTTAATGTTTTCCTTTTTAACGGACATCTAAAAATACGAGATAAAAGCAACGTATACAATTGAATGCTTCACTTAAGTTAGCCATTTTGGAGCTTTAGGATTTTGAGTGGATAAGCAAGAAGTTGTTGCTGAAGAAGGACCTTCGTTCCAAGGGCAAATCCGCTGGTAGGAAGCGTGCGAAGGACGATATGTCGGGCGACCAGTTGCCTCGCGCGTCCTCCCGACACTTCCACCCTTCGCCCTTCGCCTCCGCGACCTTCCCTTCCTCGCAGCACTTGGAGGCGCACTCGTCCACGTCGCAGTCCTTCTCCACGACCAGCGCGAAGGGCGCCAGCGGCGGCCTGGCGGCGTCCACGCAGCACGCGAACGACCGCACGGTGGCGGTGACCGCGTGGAAGGACTCGCGCCGCACGGCGCCGCCGTACTTCGTGAAGACGACTCGGCGGCGCCAGTAGGCGGCGCCCTCAGCCTCCGCGCGGCGCTCGTCCCACTGCGTCGCCTCCGCCACCGCCCGCACCGACGACTTGGCGTGCAGGCGCGGGAGGTAACTCAAGTACGCGTCCGCCTTTCGCTCCAGGGACAGGCCCGGCGGCATCCAGTGGCGGACCCACGGCAGGACCCCGGGCCGCAGCTCGATGGCCGTGAGGTCGCTCCGCTGCTGCAGCTCCAGGGTGTAGTTGCGGGGCCACGGGGCCACCACGCACGACTGCCCGTCGCCCGCAAGCATCTCGAAAGCGCCGCAGCACTTCGTGGCGTAAAACGTCACCTCTGCCCTCGCTAGCGTCACTAGCAGCAGCGCGCAGAGCGTTCGCATGGCTGTTTCTGGCCTCCTGGAAGGAAATCCTCCTGGAAATCCTGCCACCTCGAACCTAGGCCCTCCCCGTCAAAGACACCCAGAGATTGAAGGCGACGGCGCGGCCTGCTCCGCGGGTCATTCCTCAGGAGGTGAGCGGAAGAAGAGGCGGCGTTAGCGACTCACGCGGACGGCTTTTTAAGAACTTTGTAAACCTCAATGGACCAAATGTCTGATTGCGCGTGACTCCCCAGAAAGCGAGACGAGGAGACGGATGAGACAGCGATGCCAAGTGTCTTAAAGACTCTTTAAGATCGTCGCTGTCTTCGGAAGAACATCTGCCTGAACTCGGGTGATACCTCAACGTCTGCGCCGTCCAATGGGGCTTGGATGCATCACTACCGAGGTTTTTTCTTTAACGAGTATTGCGAGCCTTTCTGCTCTAGAACAAACGACCGGATAATTCCGAGATAAACTGTTTCTTGAGCTGTTGACGAACAATTTTTAAATGAGTGTAAAAGTTTCTCATTTCACTCGCACCTAATCAAATGCTAACGATTCTTTATACTGACCAACCCGAAACTGAGGAAGACTACTAGTGTGTGTGTAGGTTCGCATCGTCGTGAGGTGAAGCGTTGAAGTTCGACCGCAACTTCCTTCCCCACCGGGCGCCCATCCGTCAACAGCTGCAAGTGCCTAACTTGCACACACTACTGATAAGCTCTGGCAACATGGTTTTGATACAATACAACCGAATTCCTTTAATTACTCCCAATACACATACGTACGCATACAAGAAAGTAACAATTAGTTTTTTCAGAATGTCACAGACTTTCTCGTCCTAGATAGGTTCGTTTTTTCTTGCGTCTGGGCTAGCTATTCTGTTTTGCCTCACAATCTTCCCAATCGACGCCCTTATCTTTCCTTCAATTTTTCTGGTTCCCTAACAGTGGAATTGAAATATGACCTTAAGAACGTTTTGGAAGAAAAAAATCTGCTACTATACGAAAATGTTCATTGAAAATTTTGGACCTGTTTTAGAGAAAATGTCGTTTGAGCATTTCTGAAAATGGGAAATTTTGAATCCATTATCACAGAAAACGTATAAGACATTTTATAAATTCTGAGAAATCTGTTTATTTAAGTCAATATCACTGTAAAGTTGTGGTGCTTTCTTTCATCATTATAGCCACGGCATTTCATTTTTTCATTAATTTTTAAAAAATTGTATCACATTATGCTAGTATAACCACCAGGGTCCATTTCATTGCTTAGGTGTAAGCCACCATTAAAGAAGTGTTTGTTTGTTTGTTTCGGGTATTCATTTTCTTAAAAGATGCAAGATATAATAAGGATCCTTAATCCTCGTAACATGTATTGTATAAATAATAAAAATAAACTCTCGCTGTGGTTCACTGAGATGTTCAGACAATTTTGGTTCATTGAGAAATTCATCAAGAGAAAATACCATAGTCGACTATAAATGTATTTTTTTTTTCAAGCTACAAGATTGCTTGTAAACAAGTTTAAATTGTAAACAGGGATCATTGGCCACAAATTATGCAATAATTATCTTTCAATGAAAATGTCTGATTCTGAGTGTTCTTGTAGTGGTTTGATCTTGAAATATTGCTGGTATGGGAGTGATCCACGCGACCAACAATAAAACTTTATTTTTACAGTTTCCTCTTCACTTATTCCTCATGAGCAGGGCTCGGATTCTGATGACCTAAAAATTGTTTCAAAATTACCTATAAAATGACTAAAATATATGAAAATTACCTAATTTCTTTAAAAATATTCAAAAATTTGTATCAAATGTTTACTCATTCAATCAATTTTACAATTTTAAATAAAATTTATTTATATACAATTATTAAATTCTTTATTACAATTAATATCTCTATTTTAGGAAGGAATGTAATCTATAGCTTCAACCTTCCAACAGACCTAGACAGTTTGACAGGTTAAGGTAGTTACCGAAGATCTGTGTAATTTTGAAAGATCGAAGAACACAGACCATCTAACAAAAAAGCGAAAAGGAAACAAAATGCATAAAAATGACACAAAGGTCCAAACAAATGATCTAAAAATTGAAATGTGGAAAAAAAAACAACAAACAAACACCACCCATTAACTATATATTTCTATCACCTGTACGTCATGATAAACATTAATTTACAAGCTTGGCTAGAATGTACCAACGCAAAGATGGCATATCATGAAAATCCGAGCCCTGCTCTTGAGTAATAGCTCAGGAGAAGGAACCAGTAGAGGTGTGGAGAATGGAAAAGGAGGTGTGAGAGTGGATGGATCTTGACGCTAAAGTTTTGATTAGCAGCAGTTGCCTTCTCCAATACTACTTGATGTTGCTGTACAACCAGTTGCACAAGTTTCCCTGCAACATTCAACATGATACAGCCTATATTTTTTCGCCCTAAGGGTTTATACTTTAAAATTGCTTTGGGAAATCTTTCCACTTGCAGTCTTCATACATGTGAAAGTCACTCCTCTGGTTCTCTTTAAGGCCATCTTATATAAGATTGCTTTGAGTTTTTTCTGATTTTTATGTTTTTTTGTCGATCTAGACATGTAATTCTTACCAGCTGCTGGAAAAGTCTCATTTGTGTGGCTTCTAATCCCTGACAGTCTTCGTTTTAGGGTCCATATTTCTGATCCATACATTAACATTGGTGTATTCTTTGTTTTGTCCCTGTTGTCATATGTCTTCCAAAGATTTTTGATTAATCCATTTATCCTATTATATTTTTGAATTTTTCTTTCTTATTCTTCTGAATTTTGTCCAATGATGTTTCCTAGATTCATAAATTTTGCAGCTTGTACTACTATTTTTCCATCTATAATGATTTTAACCCTCCTCATTTCTTTGCCTTGGAATGCCATAGCTTTGTCTTATTTGTCAAGATTTTCATCTAGTATATAAGGGATATTTTATGAACTTCATTTGTTGCCCTTTGTAAGTCATATAATTATTCCAATATGGAGTTATTCTCTCAAAGCATCAATTTGTGACTTATACCTTGTTTACAGTTTTATTAAATCATAACAATTTCCCCCCTTAATTTAAGAAATAAAAATTTCACATAATTGGGCACATAAATAACTTTATTGCTTGGAACAATAAAGCAAAATTACAATAAATATGTACAGATTTTCTAAATGCATTCTATAAGAATGAATTAAGGCGACATTTGGACAATACAGACATTAATGAGATCAACAGGACCAGCCCAAATCTGGTCATAATTCAACAACATCAGAGATAATAATCTTTATTATCCTGCAAGTTTGATTTAAAAGTCTTCAGAGATCGTATTGATTTTAATTTGTTGTGAATTCAATCTCAATTTTAACATATTTTCTCTCTTTTTTTTCCCAATTACTGTATCACACAGAAGTACAATGTTAAAGGCATGGGCATTTTTTGAATCTGCTTCACATACAATGAAATATAAGTAGGATATAAGAAAATCAAATGAACATAAATATTTTGTAATGACTTCATGTGCACAGCACAAGGAACTACAAATCAGGTTTTTCAACCAACCTTTCACATCTTATATTTTTATTCTCTTACACTCCCAATATCTCCAGACTCTTCTTTTGTATTTTTTAGAATCCTGCATGAAAATAATTTTCAGTTAACCATACCTTTTTTAACAAAGGATGGCATTATAATATATTGTGTAGTGTGGAACATTTTGAAATATTCAACTTGAGAGCATAACAAGCCTAACTTTAACCATATTCACAAGTATGTTTAAATCACATACACTTTTGTACTACGGAACTCCAAAAAACACAACCATGTTCTAAAACTACTTTGTTGCAACCTTGTAAATCACAGTACACTATAATATGTTTTTCCAAAAAATATTGTAATTTCTTCACAATCAATTTATAGTAACTGAGACAACCAACAATAATATACAATGAATGACATTTCATTGAATGTACACACTCATTTATATGAAATCACAGGATCCTGCAGAATGTATGTATATATTAGCTGCTTCAAAATGAATAGAAAAAATTCAATGGAAGGTATGCATCTCACAACACTTATTATATTAACAGAGCAAACCAATAGGTTCATCAAACTATTGTCAATCTACAGTCATTACAAAAGAAGAATCCTTATGAAAACGCCAAGATTAATGCTTGCCTCTTAAACACTCAAAACTTCCAACTTCAATATTATTCTTCATAAAAAGACACAAAACACATTAAATTCATTTTTCATTTCATTATTTGCATCAAATATGCATTTCATTTTTGATTACTGAAATAAAATATACACTTTTACTTTCAGGAAATGTTCCTAGTAAATGTTTGATTGTATGAAAATATAAATCAACAACTTGATTCCTTATATATATGGAGGGTAAAAGTGAACAATTATTTTAATATAGAACAAGTAAGCTGCTCACCACAACATCATGGTTGAGAAATATATAATTAATATTACAGAAATATTAATATAAAGTCAATTAGTTGATAAAAACTTAACAAAAATCTCATTTTAATGCAGCTTGAAAACGTAAAACATTTTCCATTCCTGAAACTATGGGCTGAATATAAAAATAAAAAAAGGGCCAATTTAATACATCACCAAACTTACAAATATCAATTTATATCTATCAGTTATCAAGTTAAAAGGAACACAAGTAAAAAAATAATTGTGCCTCTGTATTCTTCAATTACGCAGCTGCCCAATGTTCAGCTCTCCACAAAAGAGCATGCATGTGTTGACTGCGAGCATCATGCTGGGTATGAGAAGGGCTTTGCACTAGAGGAGTTGGAGTCATGACAGTGTCTGTGTATCGAGAAATGAGACTTCGATAGCCACGACCAATTGTAGCTATCATGGGTGAAAGTGAACGGCGATTCCTTGAATCATCATCTGTAGACTCTGAGGATGCATGCTGTTGCTTGCCTGGCCGAATGAAGGGCACAATAGCTCGCACCTCTTCTTCAAAAGGTCGGAAGACTGTGATAGGACGCATAGTGGACCGCTCTGCAACTACAATGCAACCCCAAGTTGTTCCCACATAGAGTTCATTGTTCAGAATTGCAAGACTGGTAACCTATCATGGAAGAATGCAATATTAAAGTTAGTCAAATCAAAATGATCAAACAGAAATTATTTCATACAAATACAAGAATAAAATTAAGAGAAGCACATAATGAAAGTATTTTAAAATTGGTGAACAATTGCAAGTCTAGAATAAATCTGCAATAATCTAACAGCTGGAGAATTTTTTTGTTGTTTTTTATTGATTTTTATGTATATATTTACAGTGTTATCACTGAGTCTTAATCAAAATTTATATTAAAAGATTTTATTGTCGATCTCATCAGGCACAAAACAAAAAAACACAGGAAAGTCACAGTTTTATATGTTTGATTTTCAGACCTCCTCAGTGCATAGAAAGCTACAATGTGGTAAACAAGTATTGTGAGGGACAAAGTGGTTCATATTTAACAGAAAAAAAGTAAGAAAAAGCACCTGATTTTGTCTTGCTGAGAACTTACCGACAATAAAACCTTTAAATCTGTGTGTTTGTATGTGACTGCCACTAAGCTATTACTATTCTATTACTATTTATTTCAAAATTATATTGTCACTAGCTACTAGTGAAATAGAAAGAAAGTATTATGAAATTAAAAGTTATACAATGTTAAGTTATACTAAGTTAACCTATGTTTATTTAATGCCTTCTTACCTGGCATTTTCCCGGACTCAAGTGTTCCTCAATGCTTATTGACTTGAGACTTTCTGAACAAGGCACAAGTTTGGAGCAGTCCAATTTATTCAAAATAGTATGAGAATTTGTATCCCACTGATACACAATACAACCTAAAAATATTATTTTTTCCATTATGCATTTTACATACTGCAATATGTACTTCAAATTTACTGTATACACATATATACCTAAGTGTATTGTATTTGTAAAAGAGTAGGCAAAATCTAAATCTATTTACATATTGTGCCAAACTTCCTTGTGCTTGAAATTTGAGAATCAGGAGACTAAGCTGACCATGGTTTCCTAGAGGTACAAAACAGCAAAAACTAATATGGTGACTTGTTTTCATCAACTTGGAATGAATAAATGAAAAGATAAGAGTATCACATTTGCTGAGTGCTTCTATCCAAAATCAAAATATCACATAATTTAAAGTACTCAGATGGTAGAGATAGGGGACTGAAAAATATCAAAAGAATAGGACTGAAATCTGGTAATGGTATTAAAATAGCCACAAAAGATCATGCAGAGCGCATGTAGCAAGGGATGTAAAGAGGAAATGTTGTTGCTACCAAGACCCAACTGTCAAGCACAAAGAAGCATGGTGCAATGTATATACAACAAAATTGTATGATAAATTATGCATATTTAGAGTAAATATTGATGACATTATAATATTCAATTTTATTACTTTACCTGGATAAACATAGGAACAAACAGAGACATCTTCACTATCATAGTACACTGGGGAATGTGTTGACACTAAATTCAGAACACAAATGTTTTCTATGATGGGATCGTAATGATTCACCACATCATGTGATGTTACAATATTTTCACGAATAGTGAAAATTGAAATGTTTCCTTGGGCTTCTCCACACCATAATTCACACACTCTGGGGAGACAAATGGGATGATTTATTATATCTTAATTCTGGGTATATACAGGAAAAATTTTTTTTCAATAAAGTCAAAGCAATACATATTTTTGTCGTTTTCTCAAAAACTTTGGACTTGAAGTTGAACTTGAGTGTTCACGATATACTACTAAAATATATTAAAATTCTGCATTCAGAATTTTAATATATTCCAAATTATAATATAATTTAGAATCTTCACTTTACATTCCTACAGGTCTTTATTTATCACCAATAAAATCCTGCATTCAGAAGTAAACTCTATACGGAGCAAGCGTAGCAGTGGATGCTTACCGGCCTTGTTCCCGGAAAATGGCAGTAAGGGAATGTAATGCAGGGCTGCTTCCAAGTTCTGTCATCACAAAGGAACCTTCTCCCATGGTGGGAGACGTAGGCAAGAGGTCAGAACGCACAAGGAATAAACGCCCATTTGAGAGCGCCACTGCCACTCTTTGCAGAACTGGTAGTGGAACCATGGCACACACTGCACACGTTTCAGGAGCCTCAGGATCCAAAGTGTAGCTGAACAACTTACAGCAGTCTTTTCCTCTGTAAGATGAAACAGTGTTCTCTAGTCAGTTAATCAAACAATTTAATTCAAAACAGGTGTTTAGAAAAACTGTGACAAAACAAACTTCAAACAAGTTTCTTATACTATGAACACTTACAATATATCTTTCATTATATTAATGGTAAATCCATGTCTATTGATTTCCTTCCTGTCTTTCATTATTTTCTCTTTCTTCCATTAATATTACATATCTCAAAAATGGTAGGCTCAAACAAGTGTTTAAAAGTTGTGAGCATTAACCTCCTACTTCGCTTGGGTCACCAAGTCGAATCTAACTCCCTTTTCAAAAGTGGTAGGATATGGATCCACTTTCTAGAGTTACATGTTCATAACTATTTTCCTGTGACCAACATTTCAATGTGATTTCACTTAGCCTTTTTTTTTATCTTATTTGTAAACTATATTCAAATCTGATCACACATTCAGAAGATATAACCCAGAATCACTGAGCTTAGGGAACATTACAATAATCAAAGAACCGATTATGGAGAACAAATTTCATTTGAAGAAAAAATCACTATCTTCCATAATTGTAAGAAGACACTGAAAAAATTTCAAATTTCGCTCTTTGTAAATGTTAATAGTGAAAATCAACCTAAGCCATTTCTATGTGCAGACAGACAGACAAACGTTTTGCCATCATTTGATTTTTTGGTATCAAGGATCCACAAAACTCTGATTCTGAGTTAAAGTTAAGTTAAAGGAAATAATTTACAACATACAGGAAAAAGATTCTTCAAATTTTTTGTTACCAGGGCCCGGCAATAAGAGCTTTTTTTGTTGAAAAATCACCGTTTTCCCCTTGCAGAATTACAATACTTTCTGTATACTCTGTAAGCAGTAGTATATGAGAAAGTTAACAAGAGGACACTGAGTCATTGCTAAGACACAATTTTTGTCAACGAAACCAGAGCAAACATCACAACAACTTATGGTTATGGAAGTTTAATTTCAAAATTTCACATCTACTGAACTTCCTTTTTCACTATTTCACAAACAGCAGGCTACCAATTATAACAAATAATGTTCACTGGGATTCATCTGACCAAATTTGATTTAGAAATTGAGTACATGTGGAAATTTCTACAAGAATAATGTTGGAAGTTTTTTTATGCCACATCCCTGTGCCAATATTATATACCTTTTAGGCTACCTATATGCATACCTAGATGAAGTATTTAGAAAGATAACATTTCAATTCCATTAAAAATAAGTTTCTTAGCATATAAGAATATAAAATGATTTACAGCAAAGTACATTATACTCACATATATGCATGAATAGCTCCCATGCTGTCTCCAATCCAGACATTACCATCAACTGTACACGCAGCTGTAGGGTGTTGTGGAAGGGCGAGGGTGCAATACTGCAACCATCCTCTGGGAGAGCCCATCAGGAGGTCCACTCGTGCGTTGGAGCATGCCATCCAGAGTTCTGCACTGCAACCGCCTTCTTCTGAAAGGAAAATTTACAATTGGATGGCATATGGATCTAAACATTGTCATCACATATTGCAGGATGATTATGCAAATAAATATTAAATGTCGGAAGAAATTTACAAACTGTATACACCAAAAATAATAATGATTTGCCTTATTCACCACTTGTTGAAACAAAATGTTGTTTGAAGACTATTTACACATTTATTTAGTTTGACTACTTCAAACTCTAACACACATAAAAATGACTCTCGGATTCCCAAAAGAGTTATTTGCACGTTTCATTCAAGCAATGTATTTTATTATTCTTGACTCAATCTTCAAAACAATGGTTGTTCTGAAGCCTCCATTTTATAAATTTAGTTATCCAAACTATTTTTAAATGTTCAGTATTTTCAAAATATTTAATGTTTATAATGGGATTTGTTTCAGGAATATTGTTCAATCACCAAAAACATTACCTGCAATTTCTGGTAGAATTACTGCTGTTGTTGCCACAACAGACCCTCCATGATTTAATGATACAGTGTCTCCAAGATGTGTGAATTCAGGAGCAGAAGCAATTGACACAATTTGACTGGCAGACGGTCGGTCACGAGGAGATTGGGACCAACACAGTACCATCAGATCCAACATTAGGCTGGGGTATAAGGTTTCCTACAAGTACATTTAAGTATTATTCATTAGAGAGAACATAATGTTTACAAATATAAGAAAATTAACAGAACAATTCATACTCTGTACGTGAGTGGAGGTCTTCCTCCCTCCAAAATGCATTCCTTGACTGACTCATGGCCCTCAAATGGCTGGTGCAAGGTCAAAAGCTCATAGATAAACATTCCAAAGGAAAAGCAGTCCACTTTTTCAGTATATTCCTCCTCCCCATTATAACGCATGATCTCTGGAGCCATAAACCCTTCTGTTCCACCAAAGCCTTTTGTTCCCGAAGGTAACGTCAGCCGACTGATACCTAAACACAAAAATATTTTTTAACACAACAATATTTTTTTAACACAAGGAATAGTAATCTCCTGAGTGAATGAAGATCAGCAAAATCGTGTCATTTACAATATTTTATTTTATTTTTATTTATGTATGCATACTGTTACTAAGGCAAAACTGATATCTCATTGTCATTAAAATCGAGCTTTAATCCCAGAGGGAATAAAGCAATACTTAAGTATAATGAAAAGGAGAGGTTAAAAGTCAGAACAAATACAGAAGGTCAAATATGACCATATTTCTTTGATAAATTTTGGAAGCATAAATTTAATTTAAATAAAATTATTATAAAAAATTACAAAGTATTTCAATATTTTGGTAATATGAAATTCAGAATTAAAAGAAATGTACGTGCTGTGCAATTTATTGTACTGTAACTGCCTACATGAGGTAGATTTTGCCAGGCACAAAATATTATTTAAAAAAAGTTGTAATATTATATGTAGCCTATTACTATTAGTCATAATATTTGTTTTGTTTCATTTTTACTCACAGAATGTCAGCCTTTGTAGCTTTCTAAACTGGAACCGGTTTCCTTTTTATTGTCTCAAATTTAAAACTAATAGCAATACGACTCGTCAAACAAAATTATCGCATTAAAATTCAATAAATGAAACTTCTTTAATTGGTACCTTTTACGTTTTAATAATTCTAAAAGTAGCTGGCAATGACATGGCATACGCGAGTGGCGCGCAACTCATCCTGTGCTCGTGTTTGGCAGGGACACAAACACTCCAGGGATGTCGTGCATACTGGCAATGCCAATCGGAAGCGTTTAACACAACTAGCGTGGCAGGCCAAATTCCTTAACAACATTCCAAGAAGTCACGGAGGTTAAGAAATTCGAGACACCGCGCGCTGCTGGCTGGACGACCGTCTGGGAACCCCGGGATCTAACGGCGCCGACCCTGGCCGGAGGGCACAGACTGACTGACTGCGACTGACTGGATGAAGGGAGGATTACTCAAAAAGACGACCGCTACTAGGTGGCTACGCGAAAGAACGTTGTTTCAAATTGTAACATTGAAATCCACGTCACCGTAGAAACGAAGGAATCGGGTACTTCAGCGAGATAGGAGTAAGCTTCTGAAAGGGGGCACTGCCGCGGCGGCGAGGCAAAGCTGCGTTG